TACCCGCGAGCAAAGCTCTTTTAAGCTTTCTAAACATTTTGTTAAGACGCGTGCAAAGTTAATTAAACCCAAAAAAGCATTGAAAAAAAACACGAAAAACTTGAATGTTAGAAAAAAATAACAATTAAAAAAGTTCAAAGTAGCTTTGCAATATTTCTTGAGTTCTTGAGAGCGTAAAAATCGGCAAAATTACTCCGAAAAACCGGAAAAAAGTAAAAAAAAACGCGAAATAGTTTAATCTTTGAAAAACATAAAAATTAAACGAACTCTGAGAAGCTATTCACTAGTTCTAGAGTTCTTGAAAATGAAAAAACGTTTTGCCAAAATTTCGCTGAAAAAACATTTTACAAACACACAACAAAAAATCACCGACTTTTCGAATTGTGTATGTATTTGCAGTAGTATAGGCATAATCTTTGCTTTATCATTTGTTATTTATTTGCTCTTATTTCTTTGCCTATGTGGCTAATTTGCATGCATTGCAAATATGTGCAAACTTAAAAAACAACACATTTGATATCATTTGTTTATTTATGATTTATGGTAATCACATTTTAGATTGTGGTTGTTTTTCTACCTCATTGTTTTTTCTCATAACTATACATATGTTGTTGGGCTTCAACGGAGCCGACAAATGGCAATGGGGATAAAAGGGGTGAACATTAGGTGGAGTGAAATTACTTTCTTTTTTTTTTTGAAAATCGCGTTTGCTGCCTTCTGCTGCCGTTTTAGCCCAGAAATAAGCGTGCAAAATCAATGCAATCGTTGAGTGGCTAAACATATACACAGAAAAAACATTACTTAATGCTAGGAAAAATGTATATTATTCTAAGAAATATTACCTTGAAATAGATCTAATGACATGGCTGTCTTAATATGAGGAAACAATTTGACTCAGTTTAAGGAAAACGCAATTCCTTAGTTTTTAGGAATCGCCATTTCATCCCCCGTGAAAGAAATAAGTATGTCATTTTGCTCGTGGCGCTTAAACAGTGGCAATGGCCGAAAGAGCAAAAGCCCTGGAGTGCTAGTCGAGGGGTGCAAGATTCGAGTCCCAGAGCAATGAAATTTCTTTCTTAATATTTTTTTTAGTTTTTATTTATTTTTTATTTTTTATTATAATTTTATAAACTGTATTAAAAAAATCAAATTTATTTTTTATGGTATTTGAGTATTTAGGTTTTTCCATATATGTAATTAATTTTACAATTTGTCATTTATATTTAAATTGAAATAATTGACATACCGTACTCTAACCACCTCCAACCGCCTCATCTTATAACTCACAGACGCGCTCGAAGTCCTTTAGTGATTGCTTAAGATGTTCCTCAGTAACGATTCGAAATCTTTCCTCCCAGATTCATTAACAACATTAAACAAACATTAAAGTTAGGTAAAGAAAAACTTTTACCCAACTTTTGAACGAACGCTCGAATAGTCGAACTGTCGCATAGTGCCGCCTAAGTGTGCAAAAAACGAAACATTCGTTATCTGCAATGTGAACTTGTTTGGTATTTTTGTAAAGACAACTTATCCACAAAAAAGACTTAAATAAAATTTCCCTATAAATGAATTTTAATAAGAGCATAGCCATGCTGAAAAAATTTTAAAAAATATATTCTTTGAAATAAAATGTTGGTTTCACGTTACTTGTTTCCATATAGATAGTAGAGAATTACAGGAATTAAAATTTTGGAATAAAATTAAACACAGTTTGTCCCTGCGGTATTCCAGAAAAACAACTTTGTTAAACAAAATTTCAAAAAATGCTAAATTTTAGTGGAATGAATAAAAAATATATGTAAAAATAGGTTATTTTATATTATTTTATTAAATAGTACGGGCTTTAAGCTTTCAAAAGAAGAAATAAAAACCTGCACTTTCTGAAGTAATGCGTTTTTCGCTAATGCATAAAATATTTTTTTCATTTTTTGTCAGTGCCTTGAGATCTGCACGATTCGTTCCTTTTTGAAAAATGAAGTGTCAGATTAAAAAGCTTGACCTGTGGACAATAGGTTTATTTTTTTTAAGAGTTGCCACCTGCTAAAAAATTTTATTAGAAAAAATTAGATAGATAGAAAAAATTAAATTTTTGTATAAGGTAAATGAATTACTAAGAGATGGGTATCAATCGAAATTTCTATTAACTACATGCAGAGAGTTGCCACCTGTTTAAAAAATCAAATTCCACTTGAATTAAAGGAATTAGGTAATTTAAATAGATAGGTATCACCGTAAGGGAGTCAGATGAAAGAGGTTTAAGAAGGTTTTAGCTTAAAAATATTACGAATAGGGTTGCCACCTGTTTGTAAAGTCGAATTTAGTTAAACTAAAATAATAATTACGATAAGCCATAGGATTACGTCATCGTATTTTTTATTTTATTACAAATACATACATTGTCAATCAGCGATTTGTTCTGATTACATTCCTTTTAAATTACTGGACTCTTAAATTAACTTAGGAATGTTTTTACTCTTCACTTATTTCTTTCTAAATATGTCAATTTTTTAATTTTTCTGATACTCATATTGATATACATATTTCAGTTACCTTGTTCCCTCAATTCAAGTGAATTTGATTTTTTAAACATGTGGCAACACTCCTTCATGTCGCTTAGAAGTAAAGTATTTCCAAACCTAATTCAGTTGATACCCATATTGTAATATCTAATTCATTTGACTTATTAAATAATTTTAATAAAATTTGTAACAGGTGGCAACCCTTTTCAAAAATAAAAAACTTTATTGCACATCTACAGGCCAAGGCCTGTCATTTGACACCGCATTTTTGAAAATAGAACGAACTATATGTACATACCTATGTAAAAGCCACAAGAACAAACATTTTCAATTTCAAACTGCATTTACAGTGAATGTATGAAAGTTATCCAAAAACAAATTGCATTTTTGAATTTTACTAAGAAGCGAATTTTTATTTAAATCCGTCCGTAATTCTATTTTTGCCCACATTTTATATGGAAGGGAAGCACTTTGTGTCGTGTCATTTAAGAGAGCGAGTCAGCGAAATCTTTTTTCCTTTTTTAAATAAATTTTTTCTTTACATACTTATGGCCTTATTCATAAACTTTATAAACTGAGAAATCCACGAAAACGTCAGTTTATAAATCTCTTTAAACACACTTTATTTTTTTTATGAATAAGGCCATAAGACTTCATTGTTTTAAAAAATATTTTTTTAATTACTTTATTTTCTTTTTTGAATTAAATTTTCACTAAATTTTTAAGTTTTGGTTGTTAAAAAATATGTTTTTTTAATTTAACTTAATTATTAAAAATCGGTTTGCTAAAAGACAAATTACGCCAACAGAATTACGCTAACACCTCCTTCTTCAATTGGTATACAATAAAAGATAAGATAAGACACAATAAAAAATTTAAAAAATTTTAATTGAAATATAAAACGAAAAAAAGTTAAATAAAAGAAACACCAAATCGTCGATGTTTATGCAAAACATCCTAAATTAAATAAAAAAAAATATATACACTGCAGGAAGAAAGTATTGGCACAGCAAATTTTCCACAATATATGCAACAATTTTTATTCTAATATTTTTCCGCCAATTTTGTATAAAAATATGGCTCATTCTACAACAAAAACATCAAAATATAATTCCTAAACTTTGTGCAGAGCCCGCGAAAATTCAGCAAATTTTCATGCAAATTTTAAGCTTTTTAATCAGATTTTTGAGATTTTTTTTGTTGAAGGTGTTTTGCATTCTTTCCATATAAAGTATTTTCGAAAAAAATTTTTAATGGAAGAGACTGCGTGAAATAAATTTCCAAAATTCAACGGTAATTGATTGGGCTACAAATCTGAATACACAAAAAAATTCTAGAAAATCTTATTACAAAGTAGAAAATTTGCATGAAAATTTGCTGAATTTTCCCGAGTTTTGCAAAAAGTTTAGGAATTATATTTTTATGTTTTTTGTTGTAGAATGGACCATATTTTTATACAAAACTCTCCGAAAAATATTAGAATAAAAATTGTTGCATATATTGTGGAAAATTTTCCGTGCCAATACTTTTTGCCGTGAGTGTAAATAAAAACGAAAAAAAAATCTTTACTCTAGGAATCGATCTCGGATTTCCCGGAGTGCATGCCGATGCTCTGCTCACTCGGCCATTCCTATTGTCGAGGCGGCGCGCGCAAAATGACATAAATTCTTCTTCTTTTATTTCATATATATATATATATATATATATTTTAGCAGCGTCACATCCTTATCAGAAAAATCCGAGAATCCAAAATGTGCTCCTGTTACAAATTGCAGGGCATCATTTTAACTCGACCCCTGCCTCTTCTACGGATAACGGTGCATCGTTTAGAGGTTTAGAGGTTTAAAAATATTTTGTGTCAGCAATTCGTCATCTAACTGCATTAGATCGTATTACGTACTCTATCCTCGGAAAAGCAAAAAACTTTATTTTCGAACCTTTGCACAGGTGAGTCGAATTCTTACAGTTTCGAGACGCGCAAGGCTTTTCTTTTAATATTTTCTGCCATTTTCACTAAAATTTTTTTTTTTTACTTTTTAAAGAAACAAATATTTTGCCGCTAGTGAATCTGGTAGCATGATTTTAGTTAAATGTCATAAACTTGTTAAGAGTCAAAAGGTCGGCAACAACAACGAATGCAAATAAATGAGACTACCTTATATTTTGGTATCATGATTAAGGGCTCGTTAGAGCTAATGAAAGCGCGTAAAATAAATGTACGACTGTGAAAATTTATACGTAATAAGTTTCAGTTAATTTTTTCAGTGCATTCATAAGTCCATTTATTAGTAACCATTAATGTGGAAGCGTACTTTTAGGCGCGCAGTGTTGTACCGCTCATGCTAATGTGAGACATGTTGACGAAAAACAACGAAAAGGCGGTTCACTGAAAGTTAACCGTTACCAACACCGAATATTTTATGAATTCGAATGTTTATAAATCAAGAAATTCAGCTTAGCTGAGTTCAGTATGCGAAAATGTTTTCGACGAAATCAAAGTCAGTGCCATCACCAAATAAAACAGATCCGCTTTGTTATATAATATTCGATGAATATTTGAAACCGAAGAAGTCAAAGTTTGGCGAAAAATCAAATGGACTTTTACCACTCAAAAGTTTATGTGCAAAAGAAATTAGTTTTAAGCAGCGAATAAGTGAACGGTGGCGTCTACTTGCCAAGAAAACAACAACGAAACGAATAGTGAAAGTAAAGCCAGTGAATGGTGTTGATGCCAGCGCACGGGATACGCATCGAAATGCAGTAGTTTTGAAAACAAATTTCGATATGTATTGTGAAATTGCAAGTTTGCACGGCTTTCGGAATTTATTGGGCGCCACAAAATGGCATCGAATTTTTTGGTACTCTATTTTGTGCATTTTGTTCGCGCATTCCAATATTTTGTTGTATAGTTTGTGCAATTTGTATGCCGACAATCCAACCGTCCTATATTTGGAGACCACAACAGGCACAATATTTAGTTCATCCTTTCCATCTGTTACCCTATGCAATTTGAATCGCATTTCGAAGAAGAAAGTCAATGAGCTACTAAAGCGGGAGTAAGTACAAAGATTAAGAAGAATGATGCCTTTTAATTAATATGAAATTTAAGGATAGTGCTGTCCTCGGCTGTGGCTACGGCTTCATTACCTTTCATGAATATCAGAAAATTTTATTTTAACCGATTGCTGCATTTGAAATTGTTTAGGAGCTAAAAAAAAAATTTATATTCACTGCATATATATAGATTATATATATCTAGTGTATAAACATCTCGAGTCGCGGTGTTTGTGGTTGAACTCCTCGTAAACGGCTTGACCGATCTGATTATGAAATTTTTTGTGTATAAATATATGGTAGGTATGAGAATCGGACGTAAAGTATATTTCATACCGCTAGGTGCAGGGAGCGTGGCACCTCCCATACAAACTAAATTTTAATAATAATTTTTTAATATCTCCGGAAGTGTTCATGATAGAGTACTCAAACATGGTATGGAGATATATGAAATCAATCCCATACTCTTAGATAAGATTGGGGCTATTTGGAAAGGGGACCTGGTGCCTTTCAAATGCACTGAAACTATTACGTATCTTTGTATGCAGCTCGCCGGGTCTGCTAGTATTATGTATATAAAAAAAGTTAGTGCGCCTGGGCCACACTGATGAAGTGAAACTTACGTTACATATCTAGTTTGTCTCATAACCAATATAAATATGTACATACATATATACATATGTACATCTGCTTTTGCTTCAGGTTAAATTTTTTTTAAATTTTTTCTATCTAGATTTCTACCTCTACCCTGTTCGTTCTAATTACATTTAAGTTTTTATGTTTCCTTTATCTGCATACTGCATCGACAACAAAATCGATATAACATCCATCAAAATATCGATAAAAAACCGATATAAATATCGATTACAAATTAGCTAATAATATCGATAACAAAATCTATAACAATATCGATAAGAAAGTCGATAAAAAAACGATAGAAATATCGATAACAAAATCGATAAATATCGTTAACAAAATCGATAAAAATATCGAAAACAAAATCGATAACAAAATCTATGAAAAATATTGATAACAAAATCGATAACGTTTTTGTTAAATGAATACCATGTGCATACATTTATGAAGCACTTGTTTCCATCCTAAATTTCCGTGTGCAAGTTCCGTTGCTCCATTTCCGTGTGCAATTCCCGTTGCATCATTTCCGTGTACAATTTCCGGAGCACATTTTCCGTGTGCGATTTCGGTTGAATTTGCCAATTTACTCCCAACCAACCAACCTTCACTAAAGAAGTTTCCCTTCAAAAAAATCATATCTGAACAATCAGTGGTATGGAAGATATACCTTATAAAGCACCGATCTAAATGATTCTCACCGCTGTGTATAATCGGTATGTAAACCGGTAACACAATTCAGTGGCTTTGGCTGCCTACGTAAAGAAGTTATATCACAAAAACTTGAATCTGAATAACTAGTGGTATAGGAGTTATAGCTTATACATACGGTGACCATCCGTCCTGTATTATACGGGACAGTCCTCTTTTTTGACCTATTGTCCTGGCAATTTATTTATTTTATACGGGACGCCAAACGTTCTGTATTCTTTTAATGTCCTGTATTTGTCCCGTATTCGGCATTTCGATGCCTTAACAGCTCATTAAAATGGCATGAAGGTGATTTAAGTGATGTTGGTATATGATTGCAATTTTCTTCATAAACAGTTATGTATTATTTTCTTATTTAATGCATGTGACTCGAATCGAGGAATACATACAGTGACCAAAATATAAATTATGACTCGACATTTTAGTAAGTTTTGGTAATTTTTCCTTAGGTTATTTAATGTTTATTATTTATTTTAAGAAAGTAAAGCTCTTTTTCTAACGAAAACCATATACAGTATATTTTGCTTTGCTGCCTCTATGCTTAAGTGCACATTTAAGATACCTACCCTAAAATGCGCATCAGAGGCAATATTTTTAACATTTATAAGGAAACTGCTCCGATAGATGCATTTAGTATACCTGCACATTGACGATACCTGCCTTAAAAATTGGGCGACTAGTATCAATTATCAAAGAAAGTATTACGTTTACCTGCACTGGCCCTACAATTACCTAATTTTACAACTTTTTATTTATTTTGTTCATCTCGCAGAACAACGAAAATGGCTATCAATTTATGTAGTTATATAGATAATTAGATACTATTCGGTAAAAATTTCGCTTGCAGTAATTTCTACGTGGTAAGTGCTTCTCCATTATTTGGTTTCATAGGGATTTGGATACCTTCCTCATTGAAGTAGTAAAGAAAATTCGCTTAAGTGCATTTTTCGGATAAGTGCACAAGTTTTTCGTGCAAAGAAGGATGTGCAGCTAAGCAAAATATACTGTAATACCAAATTTCAAACTTTGTGCAAAAAACTATAAAAATTAATTCTGCAATGTTTCACCAAAATTTCAAACTTTCTAATTACAATCTTTAGAAAAAAATTTGGTTTGCGGTTTTGTAACTCATTGAAATTGAGTATAATAAAGTGCCAGTGGAAAGTGCTACTTATTTGCTTCTCTTTCAAAAAAATGGTCGAACATACTTACTTTGTATGAAAAAAAATGCGAGCACCGTCAACAAAAAAAAAAGCACAAAAATTAATATTAAGCCTTAGCGACTTAAAATTGCACTTTGTTATACTAAAATTTAACGAATTTATTTTAAACAAATTTTACGGGGTAAAAATCTCGAGAAAATTATCCTAAAAAGTTGTGATGTTACTAAAAGGATACTGTTTCAGGGCTAATACATCTAGGATCTTTGAAGAAGGCTTTAAGATCTGTAAGCTGTTGTGGAAAAATTTGCAAATTTATTTTTTGTCCCGTATACGGCTCCCATAAATATGGTCACCGTACTTATACAGCACCGGTCTTGACGGATTTCTTAGGGGACTTTGTATGATTTAAAAAAAAAAAACAAGCTCATGCGATTTCTCGGCTTTAGCCGTTCAGCAGAAGGAGTTTTAAAGTAAACCCCCATATCTTATACATTAAATAGTTGTATTGAGGCAATAAAGTCTTCTGGTGGTGGTTCATTATTGTTATGATTAATAGCACTGATGATTTGGCAAATAACGTCTTTCATCTATAGAAACAACACTTACGGGCCAATTATATTTCACGTACGATTTCTTTGAATCGACATGCTTTAAGCACTTTTGACGCTATTTCCATTTGAATTAGTATATAGCATCATTTACTTTATTTCCAAATTTTTGTCGACTTCATTTCGCTTCTGAAAAGGTAATAACGTCAATTGACTTTAGTTTGCACCAATATGGGAAATAGTGTCAATTGACATTTTTCCGTTGATCTTGTCAGCGTTTAAAATCCTGAAATGTTTTATAATGGTGTAAGCAAATTTGGCTGAAATTTGGGGATATCTGTATGTCTATATCAAAAGCAGTTCCTGAACCCCATTAAATCGATTGTGTTTCGTATTTTTAATGGATTAGGAAGCTTTTTGTGCCACTTTTTCCGTAAACTTCTTAAAGAATATTTTTGTAAAAAATCGTTATTTTTTGATGTACCCAGATTGTTGTGATATTTTATTTAACTCGAGGCATATTTATAGCAGTGACAACTAGCTCGAACTTAGCTCTTATAGCTAGTTATAATTACAAAAAAACTGTAAACAAACAAATTAATCCTTTGAGGTGCGAGTGCTATGTTTGCTACAAATTAGTATCAATTGAAACGCACTAGCATAAATACATACATATGTACGTATACTAATTTTAAGAATTACTTTAATATACCTTCAAAGAATTTTAATTTCATTCGTACCTTATATGAACAGAAACGAATACCTCATAAAGGAAACCACGTAACTAAAATGAAAGAAATGTTTTATGAAACTGTTTTAAACACTTTTTTCTTTTTTTTTTTTATTCGCCCAATGTTTTTGCGCCTTTTGTTTCTTATTTAAATATTTAATTCTTAAAAACATCCGGCACTTATAAAAAAATGATTTAATGCTTTCTTGTGATTTTGTATGTGAACATTAATTCTAACAATTTCTTGATAAAATTTTTGCGAACTCTTTCCCGTTTAAGTAGTTAAAAATTGCTGGTATCATGTATGGGCCCTTTTATTAAGTTTACGTCTGCGCTTCAACAGATGATATCGTCACTTCTGAACTTTCGTGTCGAAATAAATAGTTTTGGAACGCCTTTGTGTTTTGGAACCCATAGTGTTGTAATTTTTTATTTACCTTAATTCGTTTATTTAATCCTTTAAAAAATATAGCAACTCTCCTAAAAAAAATATCCTATATGTTAACCTGGGTTATAACCTCCCTGTGTGCCAATTTTAATTGAAACTGGTACAGCCGTTTTACGGTAAAAGGGTAACAAACATACTCACAAATACACTTGCAGTAGGATGAGCAGGAAATTGTGTTACTCATACGCCGCGCAAACCCACGTTTTATCAAACTTAATAATAAGAAAAAAACAATAATCGAGAATGCGAAAGTAATTAGTTGCTGCGTAGTACTTCCAACTGAAATATCGAGCCCTAACCTCCAAAAAACGTACCCGACATATTTAAAAAAAAAATATTTTTGATGCAGAAATGCCCCTAAAGCATCTGGATGCAATTCTGAATCAAAAAGAAAATAAAATAAATTCGCTTACATCTTTTTTGGCGGTTAGGGCTCGATATATTCATACAATTTCTTGTTTTTTTCTGAATTTCTTTTGTTGAATATTATTTGTTTACAAATTTAATACATATTTTAATAAATTTTTTAGATAATTGCAGACATTTGAGATTAATCTCAAGTATTTTCCAAAAACGTGACTGCACTCAAGATCGATTCATATATTTGGTCAAATAGCGTATTTTACTTAATTTTTATAAAGAAACCAAAACACGCCGATCTGACCAAACTATTATTGTAATTTTTAAAACTCTCATACGGATCCAATGCCCAGATTTATTCAAAAGCTATCAAGTAGCGAACAATGCGTAAATACTTAAAAAAAAAAATAACCAAAAAAATGTATGCCAGTGTATGTAATGGTAAAAGCGTTTCTTTTTCACTTATGTGCAGCATTTTGGAAAAAAATACATTTGCAATCCGGAGTTGCGATAGGTCGTTCAAATAATTTTGTTCGCAAAGTTGCCATTTCGCCAAAAATGTTTCATGAATCTAATTAATGAATATTTTTATGAACGTAATTCCCAACGTTGTCATTAAAATTTTTGTCATTTAATGCCTAGTGGAAATATCAGGGACCGTAAATAACAGTTACTTTTTTTCAAAAGATAAACATGGCCAGATATTTTTAAGTTAAAAATAAACAAACCGCTTATCCAGATTAAACAAGCTTGGTATCAACTAAAAGAGGGTTAAAATAGCTTTAAAAGTGCAATGTTTAAACGAGGAAAGCCAACGGATGGTCAGCTATTGAAAAATATTTCATTAAAAAATGTTTTTTAATTACCATAGAACAAACCTTGGGTCAGGTAAATGCATTTATTTTGTATTAGTTTTTAAAAATAAATATAAGTGGTAACCTACGTTCGTTGTTTCCGTTTAAAAGCAATTTAATTTTATTGGATACGCGCTTTGTTTACTATCCGGAAAGACTTTTATTTCGGACTTAAAAAATATTTGGCCAAGTTTAACTGTTCAACAAAAAACTAACTGCTATTTACGGTCCCTGGGAAATATATCATTAACCCTACTTAAGAAATATTTAAATAAAAAATTTTTTTTTTAACCACAAATGAGAAAAAATTGTATGTTTTACTTCGAAATTAACCATTATTTCAAAAAGTGTATAATACAACGGAGCTTTCGTATATACACACATATGTAGATTTTTTTGCAATACGGACACCTTTTAGTTTTTTTTTTTTTTTGTTTTCGCTAACTCTATATTTACTCTTTTTAGAAAAGATTAGCTGCAAAACTGCATACGCACTTAAATTTTTTCTAAAAACAGTAATTAAGGAGTGCCAAATTTTTATGAAAATTTCCAAAATGTTTGAGATTCCGATTTTTGGAGTTTTAGTTGTAACGGGTGATTTTTTTGAGGTTAGGATTTTCATGCATTAGTATTTGACAGATCACGTGGGATTTCAGACATGGTGTCAAAGAGAAAGATGCTCAGTATGCTTTGACATTTCATCATGAATAGACTTACTAACGAGCAACGCTTGCAAATCATTGAATTTTATTACCAAAATCAGTGTTCGGTTCGNCGAAGAAATTCGGGCTATTCCGGCCGAAATGCTCGAAAAAGTTGCCCAAAATTGGACTTTCCGAATGGACCACCTAAGACGCAGCCGCGGTCAACATTTAAATGAAATTATCTTCAAAAAGTAAATGTCATGGACCAATCTAACGTTTCAAATAAAGAACCGATGCGATTTTGCAAATTTTATGCGTTTTTTTTTTAAAAAAAGTTATCAAGCTCTTAAAAAATCACCCGTTAGTACTAGTCACAATTTTATATAGCGTTATTTCCAAGAGGCTTCGAGGAGCCCTTTAGTCGGAAGAGAAAGAGAGGCAGCTCATTGAAGTCTTTGGTTTCTTTGCTCTCTGAAGTTATTTTTTTGTACCAGCATCAAATTCAAATTTCTTTAAAGTTTTATAGATTTTCTGAGGTATGCCGTAGATCTTACTCTATTTACATATAATAGTAACATACAGTGGGGAAGAAAAGTATTGGAACAGTGAATGTTTTGTGATATATGCAAGGTTTTTTATTCTAATTTATTTTCGATAATTTTTTATAAAAATATAGTTCATACTACACCGAAAACATTAAATAAAATCTCTAAACTTTGTGGAAAACTAATAAATTTGCAACTTTCTATTCACATTTTTTAGAAAAATTCTAGGTATGCAGTTTTATAGCCCATTCAGGTTTAGTGTCACAAAATGCAAATTTTTGAAGTTGCAAGAAAATCGCGTTGCTTTTGGACAATTTTTTTTTATTGGAAGCTGGTGCTCATTTTCTCCATACGAAACATACTTTGTATGGAAGAACCTGCGTAAAAAAAAATTGCCAAAAATCAACGCGATTTTCTAGCAACGTCAAACTTGAACTTTGTTATATTAAAATTGAATGGGCTGCATACTAAACAATTTTCTAAAAAATCTGAATGCAAAGTTGTAAATTAATATGAAAATATATTGAATTTTCCTTGAGCTTTGCACAATGTTTAGAGATTTTATTTTTATGCTTTTTGGTGTAGAATGTAGAACTATATTTTTATAAAAGGTTCGAAAAACGAAAATAAATTAGAATAAAAAACGTTATATATACATACATATGTACATATTGCGAAAAATACACTGTGCCAATACTTTTTTTCATCACTGTATGTAGTAAAAGTTTCACTTCTCTTTCAGTTTCAGTCCCCAAGCAGCCGAACAAATTCGTTCGCATTTAGACGCCACGCTCTACAGCATACTGCCAGTAAATACCACCTCGGTCGACTTTAGTTTGCTGAAAATCATTTTAGACAGCAAAAATTACACGCATACAGATTTTTTAGAAAAAATCACTCCCGATTGCCGCAGTCAATTATTGCGTTGCAAATTGCATGGCCAGGTGCGCTTGTGCAGTGATCTTTTTCAACGCGTCGAAACTCAACACGGCTTCTGTTGTCTATTTGATTATCGCGCGAATGTTGACACGAATCAGCCATCAGAGATATATACCAATCGTTTTGGCTACAAATGGGGCTTATCAGTGCTAATCGATCCGCAAGAGGAAGACTACTATGCATCAAGGCACAAATTGGCCGGCTATCAAATATTCGCGCGCAAACCAACCGAATTTATTACAATGAATACGCAATATGAAATGGCTTTCCGACGCGAAGAGATTTATGTTCATGTCACACCTTTGGAAACGCTTTATAAGTCATATGTGAGGCGTGAGCTTGTGGAGAAGCGGCGTTGTTATTTGCCCGGCGAATATAAATTGACCATCTTTGCTAACTATACGCATACGAATTGCTTAACCGAGTGTCGCACTAGACTAATGTTGGAGACTTGTGGTTGTGTGCCGCCATTATGGCCACGTGCAGAGAATTGGACTGTATGCACGTTCATTGAGGCGAATTGTGTGACTGCCAATTATGGCAAGTGCATTTTGAAATTGAATACTTATACACATACATATGTAGTAAACAAATTTTTTTAAAATGTATACTATTTATTTATTGACATATTTAGATATATTCACTAGAACGTTGCTAAATGGCAGAAGAGATTACAAAACCAATGCCCAGGCAGAAAAGTACATTTGCGATTGCTATCCGGAATGTCGTTTCCATTTATACAAAATGAACTACGATGTAACTCGTTTGGATAGAAATTATTCGGTGAATAATCGGAAATTTTTGTAAGTCGTAAACTTGTTAAATTATCTTATGCTAAGCTGGCACCCTATCAAATTTTTTTTTTTTTTTTTACTGCGGGTTAGGTTAGATTATGAGGAATTTAGACCTTAGCCTATGGAAATCAGGACAGCTCAGAGGAAAGTTTGAAGATAGTAATTCCAACCTTTTCGCCCTCCAAGCAGTTGGAAAGTGTCTTGTTAAAACTTCTGGCAGCACCAAGATTTGGCGCTTGGTTGACTTAAGATGCTACTTTGCATGTTTGTTATTCGCCCAGCGATCAGTGCCGACTAAAACGCGATTTGCAAAGTCGCTGGTTGTCAAAGGAACCGTTATACTATTTCTGTAGCTTAAGTATCTACTTCGAAGGTGCTCTGCCTAGCACATTCAACAGCCTTGTAGTTACCTGCAACATCGATATACCCTAGTAGTATTCCAAGAGACTACTTTCGATCACACCATAAGCAATCCTAAAGTCGAGATTGCCACGGACATTTTTTCCCCTACCAAAACCTACACATTTTTTTGGAGTTTTTAATTATAATTATAATTATTTTTTTTCAATAACAAGTCAGCCCTTTCATTATCTTCAAATCCTTCATGTCCCAGAGCCCAACAAAGCATGACACTATTGTGGGCACCCAGTTGGTTCAAAAAAGTTGTACAACTGTCCACAGGCCTTGATTCCGTTTTAAAAGAGTCTAAATAGGGTCTCTAACACTGCCTGACTATCCGTTATAATATTTATTATGGCCATATTTTCTCTTCTACGAAGACATTGTTGAGATAGGGCGTTTTTGTATCGAATTCTGAAATTGGCCGTTCTTGAGCCATTTGCTGATTGATATAAGGCGTTTTGGAACCAGCTGCCGAGATCGGTCGTTCGTCCACTCAGCCATTGATAGAAGGCTTAAACTCTAGTAAGAAAAAAAAATTCAATATTAATTTTTATATTTTATTATAGCCAAGACATCGAACTGAAGGATCATTTAGTTGTGCATGTCTTCTATGCGGATATGTTTGACTTTATCATGCGACTGGATGTCTACAACACTTGGTTAACATATTTTGGTAAATAAGGCAAAAATTATGTATGTAAATAACTACAATTACCCACAAACAAATATTTTTAAATAGGCATGATTGGCGGCATAACCAGCATACATTTGGGCTACAGTTTCATATCTGGATTTGAAATAATATTTTTCATCTTCGTACGACCCATAAGATATTGGCTTACAAGGAATGAGGAAGTGAAAAATGTTTTAAATGAAAATATCAGCAAGTAATGAAGCACGACAGCAACTATTTCTAAATTTCTTCACCTTTCCTGCACTGTTTCTTGCTTGTAACTAGATAATTGCTAGCAACAGCATAGCTAATCGATAGTCAAGTTGGGTCATTAACGGCACAAAATTAGTTAGTATCGAAGGCTAATTGTTACCTATGTATGTATGCCTTTTGAGCTACTCAGACATACATGTACATATGTACAAACTTACAAAAAATGTTAACTATCAGTGTCTATAATTAAATTAACACCGCAAGGTACTAATTTTAAGGAGTACTAACTATGTAGTATAAACACTAAACAGCGAAGCAACTCCTCACCTGCGCGCTCAGTCAACATTTCACCGCCGCCGTGTATTGCAGTCAAGTAGCGTTTAAGAAAATGTCCACTTTTAAGCGTTCACCATTCAATAAGCAGTCGAATCGCATTTTCGATATACATCAGCATCAGATAAGGCGTAAAAAATTGGTGGAATCACCGACAGCTCAGCCTTATAATAATCGCGATACGAACGCACAGCATCAACACAAAGTTTCACGCATTCGACAGTTGGCCACTTTTTCGCCAGTGCGCCATTGGTTTTTGGAGAATCTTCGTAATTATTGTAACAGCACATCGTTGCATGGCTTTAATTATATCACACTCAAGGGCTCCACGGCGAATGAGCGTTATTTTTGGATTATTATTGTTATTATATCGATTATCGTTTCGATTGTATTGGTGATCGTCTCGTGGAATTGGAATCGTGCAACGCCCACCGTCACAGTGATTGAAAGTGCACATTTTCCCACTTGGAATATACCATTCCCAGCGGTAACCATTTGCAATTTCAATAAAATATCTAAAGTAAAGGCTATGACTTTGGCTCGCACATTGTAAGTGGATATATTTTAGCATTTTAAATAAAACTATGCGAGCAGTGAAATAGTTGTATCCAAACTTTCTTTCGTTGTGAACTTCGTCAAGCCAAGAGTTCTAACTACTGGCTAGTTGCCCCAAAAAAAATGGTTCTTTGTCCTCGATTACACGTAATTAAAACCATTATGCATGCGTCGCCGATATTTAAAAACCATATCAAAAAAAAAAAAAAAACAGTTGCCCATTTCGAAAGTCGCATGGATAGTTCTTTTTGAAGAAAACTTTTGTGCCATACATACGTCATTCGAGACTCATGAGTAAAAATAAAAGCTCCGAAGCGTTCAGTAATTCACCATGAAAGATCATTGGTTGTTCACTACTCAGACTCCTTAGCAGTAACTACTAATAAATTCCTGATGAAAGATTTGATAAGGAAATCCTCAACTTCGAGATCGTTAAGAGACCTCCACGAAAACAATACTGCTGGACATCTAGCGAGGACTCTACATAATTTATGAAGTTCTATATCCATAAAGCGCCCTTTAGGCACGAATTTTAAATGTCCACCAATCATTCGAAAGTTTTCAATAGAAACGACGTAGGATCTAAGATTTATGGATTTGATTTAAATGGGAAAATAATCTTGTCTTTATCGTAGTAAGGGAAGGTTAGGTTAGTTAAGACTAGTTTAGATTAAAGTGCTGCACTCGGGCACACTTCTTCTTCTACTTCAACAAAGCACGCCAGTCGTTACTCCTCCGTGCCAACTGACGCCAACTGGAAATGCCATGTGAAGCCAACTCCTTCTTCACTTGATCTCTCCCGCGCAGTGGGCCGCCGTCTTTCTCTACTACCACCAGCGGGTAGGGCGTCGGTGTCAAATAGGGTGGTCCAACAAAAAAAGTTTAAAATGTTACGCTCACACCTCCTAAGTGATATTTAAATTCAAAATATGTTGTATTCTAAATTCTGGTATTACCAGCACGAGCATGTTGAGTGACTTATAGAGCGCGGTTTTCCTACGTCGAATTCTGTGTTGGATTTCGATGCAGACATTGTTATCGGTGTTAATGCTGGTTCCCTAGTAAATGAAATTCCCTACTTTCTCGAAATTAAAACTTGATGGATGTTGAAAGCGCCACGAAAGAGCCATATTTCTATAGCGTTTTTTTGAAGAGTTCGCCGATTTAAACATCGTTCGATTGCCGAAACAATAGCCCTTGGCCAAGTAAAACTGACTTATTACGGCATGTAGGACGGGTTGTCGTGGGAATGTTTATGCTTATAAATCACTGAACTGAGGCTTACTAGAACCAGAATATTCTCCTAGGCAGACAAGAACCTACGAAATGACGGCTGATATCAATATCTACATTGCACAACAACTGGAACTGATGTTATACCGCGAGGTTATCAAACACATTCACCGAGAGAAAAAAGTCTGCTTTACAAAACTAAGTTATAGGTATCATCGCAGACTGAACTCCTACTTATCCAGACTCGAGCTCGACATATACATCACATGTCTAGCATGTGGAGGTACCTCTCTCGATGCCAAAAACACCTCACCACTTTCCTTTTTAAACATCCACTAAGTCGAAAATTCGCGCTTAATGTGCCTTACTTTCTAGCACAATTAATAAACTAGCCGATTTTTTCAGAGAATACAAAGTACAGCATTATACAAAGTTAAGCTTAGTTAATTCCCCAGAGCTGCCTTTCTACTATTTGGGCCACAAATGAACTGATAAGCATCGAAAATGTTGATCTAAGAGTAGTTGGAAAGAGCCAAAATATGTAGCTCTCTAAAACTTATATTGAATAGTTGTGCCTGCAAGAGCTGCATGGAAGCAGATAGTGGTTACCGGGTGAAGACACCTTGTCGCACCATCGTTGTTCGATTTTTTCGCAATGGGGACCGTTCAACTACCTCAAGACAGGCATGAAAGCATTAAAATTAAAGATTGACAAACTTCACATCAACGCAGTTTAAAAATGGTGATTGTTGGGAGCGATTCTTCTCATCATATGACTTGCTCAGTTTGCAGTGAATCATTGGATATATGGACAAGCTTACAAAAATTGGACCCCTCTAATGACCACGTGTGCCGTTGAAGGCGTTTTCCATAACGAGTTGTTAAAAGAGCCGGGACTTCTGGGCTCGTTAACTATGTTGTCCGCTGACCGTTGCGTCTTTGAGGCTCAACATCTCGAAGTTTGAAGATATGGATGGCATACTTTTGGCTTTTCCTTCGCCGAATGATGATTATGGCGGATGGACCGCATGACCTTGGCAGGCTCATTTTATGCGGGGGTTTCTCTGAACATCTTATGGACCTCCTGTGCAGTTCAGCGATCTCTCTGAGCATTCTTTTTACGCCGCGTCTAGCTTGTATGTAAGCATCCCCCTTCTCTTGAGGAGCAACAGGCGACTTCTGATGATCTAGTAGGATCTCAAGACTTTGCAAGTTAGGAGTGACAACCTTGCGCCTTGCGAAATTCCATATTATTTTTCATTCCATTGATTTTTAAAGCGAAACTAATTCGCCACTTAGGAGATCAGATTGCGTTCTGATGTTGTACAAAGGGTTGTAGTTACTACTTCATAGGACATTATTGCGAAAAATTTCAGTTGAATGGATTGTGATAATCCAGATCGGGGATCAGTATCCAGCGCTATTTCACTGCTTGCTTATGGCTATCAAACCGCATACACATACATAAAGAGTCACTTTAAAATATACCTACTAACACCTCGCTCGCAACTTTCAGTAAACGTCCGGCAAATGTTTCTGAAGAAAAACTTCTAAATCTTTTTCGCATAACAATGTTCTTCAATTTCGCATTAAATCATACGGAAGAGGATTTCCGTCTTTTCGAAAACATTCTTACCACCAATAACTATACAATTACCCAATTAAGTAATGAACTCACGCCTGATTGCCTGGAAATGATGTCGAAATGTGTGTGGAAAGGCACTAGGTCGCGTTGCGAGAGTCTCTTTCAGCCTGTTCAAGCCATGGAGGGCGTTTGCTGCTCGTTTAACTATTATGGACGCCCGACGAATAATTTTCCAAAGTACATTAAAATAATTGACCAGTACTTAATCTAATTTTTATTCAATTACTAAAACTTATTAATTTTCCGCTGTAGAAAAATTGCTTATCAAATACCGAAACGTCCCTACCGTGTCACCGGCTGTGGTTATGCCACCGGCATCAGTGTCGTACTCAATCCCATCATAAAAGACTACTTCGGCACCTATTTGAGCAGTTATGGCTTTCGTATGCTAATTCACGATGCGTACAATTTTCCAGACGAAAATGCCGAAACCAAGGTAGTCACTTCGGGACGTGAAAGTTTCGTACGCATAAATCCTGAATCCACATATGCCACAAACGATGTTAGGAAAATGGATATAGAATTACGTGGTTGCTTATTTTCTGACGAACGGAAATTATGGTCTATGAAACGCTACTCATTCATCAATTGCATGTCTGAGTGTCGTACACAAATTCTGTACGATAATTGTGGTTGCATACCGTTGAGTTTAGCGAACAATGGCAGCTTTCGGACTTGTGATTTGAGGGAGATGGACTGCGTCATGAAGATGAGAGGTATGTAGTATGTAAGTGGGGTTGGAAAAGAAAAAATATATCAATTTTTATTTTCGAATTAATTTCTTTAATATAAATTTGGATTGTAATCAATATTGTTTTGATTTTCAGATATTTTCTCATGGGCATTGCCTACCGTAAACAGAACTGTATCGCTTGTTCAAAATACTCACAAATTTCCATGTGATTGCTTACCGGACTGCCAATTTAACGGCTATCCATCAGAAATAACTATGGGTCTATTGGATATGAATTTGCTGTCCGCCAAAAATCCTGTAAAGTAAGTACTTACATAGGACAATCCAAATATGTAGAATTATAAACTGGCGTGCATACTTTTCATCCAAATAACGCCGAGTACTTTTACTTGATATGGACCAATATTTTTTTTTTGCTTCGAAACAGTAACAAACTTTAAACTGGGCGTACATGAGAGTGATAACCATTGAAACACAGCTCTGACCTAAACGTCACTCATGTTTCAGCCAAAGCAAATACGAACTGAGGCTAAATTAGGTTAGATGGCAATCCCAGAATTAGGGGACAATTAAGACATTATCTATCCTTTGTGATACCACATTTAAAACGACTCGAACCGGCTATGTAGTTACTGTAATTCGGTTAATTTCAATGCATCAGAGCCCCTCATGGCTTTTAAGGATCTGCAAGGTAGTGTTGAGGTGATTCCACCTCATCATTTTTCCGGCAACTGCGATACCCGGGATCAGATAAAATGTTTGAAATTACTGCGTGAATACCGATTGGACAGTGACGGTTAAAACCCCAACCAGGAGTGAGAGCTGTGGCTTTGTAAGTGTGTGAAGTGCCCGCGACCGCCCCATGTTCACTTGCACATCAAATTTATGTGTTGATACGTAGGGAAAATTCGGAAGGGCGCTCCGTTGGTGGGTAGTTGAATCAGAGAGAGCAGCTTTTCATAATAATACAATCGACGTTAAGGCCCTCCTAACTGTTATCGCACTCTTGAGCAGTAAATCTACCACCTCCTTAATAGAAGCCACTTTTGCCTGAAATACACTGCAGCAATACTCAAGCCTGAGCTAAGTACTAATGGAAATCTCTCAAGAGGACGCCTCTATCAACCCTGCCACCCACTGTCGATCCATCCGTGAGGAAGTTCACTACTCTCACTCTCTAGAAGTTCTGCCCGACCCAATCCTCCCTGGAGGAAAGTGGGCAATGAAGAAGCTCCGCGCAATCAGGACGAAATCTAAGCCCCCAGAAACTAATAAACAAATTTGACCGAAACACCCCATCTCTTTCCAAAGGCTCCTCTATAGATACACATAATTATAAGGCCAGTGATGCCTTCCTCGCCCTTTCCTCGATATTCTTCCTACACGACAGCTTACTATCAATGATCAGGCCCAAGTACTTGACCTTGGATGGTAGCTGTAAGCTTTGACCTCTAACAGCGGAAATACCAGCGGCAGGACTTTTATACTATATAGTGAATAAGACCAGTTTCCCGAGGCCACTTCTGGACGTCCAGTTAGTAACCATGTTAAAATACGATTGGGTTAGTTCATAAAGGGTATCCCAAGTATTTACCTTTAACTATAAGTGCAACATCGTTTGCGCAGACAATTACTAGACAGTCGTGTTTCTCCAATTCCTCTAGTAGATCGCTCAACACGCTTCTCGAGGAATCCCGCTTTTTATGTGCAGTTCAACTAGTCCCCCCAACCAAAGTGTATCTCTGGCAGTGCTTGTCTTATAAGTGAGCGAATTCAATGTAGACAGAAATGTCTTCCTTACTATGACATGAAAATGCTATCCGCATATCCTTCCGGTTGACCTCTTTGGTGATCTGAAGCCTACCTGGAATCACCCAATATGCAGCTCAAAATACTACTTATGCAATTAGAAGGTACAGGTACCGTCGTCATTCCGTCTAAAAGGGTTTGATTATATGTACTGCGAAAAAGAGTTCAGTCCCAACTCTAGTCTGGCTGATAGCACGTGCTATTTGACTAGGCTTCTACAGGTCGTAGAAGTTCTTATAGAATTTCTGCATTAAATAGTAAATAAAATAAAACAAATTGTAAAACGAAACTTCAACGAACTGATCTCGAATTCGTAATCGGATCCAGAAGATCAGTCTCATTCGTTAGACAAGTTTTTGATGGGATCTTCAAATTCTTTATTACTTCCGAAACACACCTACTTGCCAAAATTCCAGACTTAATCAGATAAGTGACATTTTTAAAACAGATATTACCTACATATTTAAATTAAAATTAGATTTTTAAGAGCCATTTTCTATTACATTCAGTGAAATCAAAACTTTCTGTGTTTCTCCATAGTAAAACTGTGGAAACGGATGAACAAATTCTGTTACACGTTTTCTTCAGCGATTTGATGGCTAAGCGTTATCGCATGGATATATTCCAGGATTGGTTGTCGTCACTTGGTATGTATGTATTATAATAAAATAGTGTTTGGCCGAGCTTCTCCTCCCTTTCGTGGTGTGCGTCCTGATGTTATAACACAAATGGAGGGACCTACAATTTTACGCTGTCTCCGAACGGCAAATTATTTTTATAAGAATCTTTTTTTTTAAAGCAGAAATACACGCGTGGGTTAGAAATTTCCTGCCGAGGAACGGCCGTTGCTAAAATTTTTTTCCTAATTTAGATGTTGCTCGCATCGGGGATCGAACCCAGGTCCAACGGAGTGGTAGCGCGCACCTCTAGCCAAAACGACCCTATATATTTGTATACTCGTAGTATAAATAGGCAATTCGAATTTTAGTTATAATAAAAAGAAGAGAAATCAGCGATTTCTGTTGCCTATTTGAAAGTAATTTGTTAAAAATATTTGAATTGTAATTTGCACAACTTTTATGTCTCTCATTCCAGCTTCTTTTGGCGGACTTTTGGGATTGATAATGGGCTTTAGCATAGTGACTGCTTTCGAATTTCTCTACTTTCTTACATTTCGGCCGATTTTTAACTACTTTAATGATAGCTAAATATTTTACTAAAAAATAATTTTTGATCTGGAATTTACTCAAAATTTTTAAAACTATTTATTGTATGTAATATCATTGTTATATGTACATAAATGTTTAGATGTCAAAATAAAATTGTGAATAAATGTGTCATTAAATGTGATATGATTTTACGCTTTTAAAGTGCAATAAAACAAGTAAGATAGTCTAAGTTCGGGCGGAGCCGAACATTAAATACCCGGCGCAAGTATTAAATATATATTTTTTCACCTTTCCGAAAGCTACCGCTAGATGGTAAGCCGGGGTGTATCAATTTTGAGTAAATTAGCGTCCTTCAATTTCGAAATATTGAAGTTTCAAGCATTTCTGAAATTTACCGTTATATGAAAAGCGGCCGTTATTTTAGTCCGATTTCAATAATTTTCAACGTTTTGCTTATATGTGGCAAGCACAATAACCACACCGAGTTTGGTACAAATTGGTAGAACGGTTACCGATATACTTATATGTGATCATAAGTGGGCGGTGCCACGCCCATTTTCCAAAATTTTACCATAAACGTATTTCTTGGTAAAGAATTGTTGCAAGCATCAATTTTGAATAAATTAGCTTCAATATTTACTGATTTATCGAAGATTTTGTATTTCTCGAAATTACCGTTATATGGGATGTGGGCGTGGTTATTGTCCGATTTTAAAAAGTTTCGGCGGTTTTTTATGCTGTACCAAGGCCAACAACTGTGCCAAGTTTGGAAGAAATTGGTGCAGCGGTTACCAAGATATACACATGTAACCATAAGTGGGCGTGGCTACGCCCATTTTCCAAAAATTTATAATATTCTTATTTTTCGTCTAAAAATTATTGTAAATATCAATTTTGAGTGAATTGTTTTCAGTAGTTTCTAAAATATCGCAGTTTTCGTATTTCTGGAAATTACCGTTATATGGGAAGTGGGCGTGGTTAAAGTCCGATTTCGCCCATTTTCAATACCAACCTACCTTGGATTAGTAGAAACCTACATACCAGATTTCGTTGAGATATCTCAATTTTTGCACGAGTTATCGTGTACACGGACGGATGGACAGACGGACGGACAGACAGACATGGCTTAATCGATTTCTTTTTTCATCCTGATCATTTATGTATACATTTGTCTATATCTATCTCGATTCGTTTTGGCTGTTACAAACAACCGTTATGTGAACAAAATTAATATACCCTTGTGCACAAGTGCGCTCGGGTATAAAAATTACACACAGTACTAATCTTAATGGCTTTTACTGGATGGCGTTTTCGTACACAAAAAGTTGCAAGAAACCAGCAAAAAAGAGAGAGAATTGAGAGAACAAAAATGACAGCTGAACTTGCAAGTTTTACTGGTTTTTTACTGGATTAATTTTTACTAGTAACTATTTGCTAGTAAGAAAAACAGTTGATGGCATGATGCTTAATGCAATTCACATTACCAAGAGAATTGTTTGTGGTGCTTTTCGAGTTGCAATTGGCAAAATAAACATATTTATACTCCTTACATATATATACTATTTTTCTTAGAAAATTGCGTCGGAAAATAAAAAATTCCGACCTCATAAAGCTTGCCCCTTCTTGCTGGTATTGCGTTTTCGTACTTTCTTGCATATTTCTCTCATTGAATGTAAATATTGGCTTAAGGAGTGTTCGCTATGCACAAAATTTGTACAAGTTGGTACCAATTGTTACCAAATCGTGTTCGTTTAGCCAAAAACCCAGTAAAACTTGCAGGGAGAGAGCACAATTTTGACATTTCATTTGGAGGGGAAGTGCTGGGAAAATTTTTGCCAGTAAGAATTTGCAAGCAGGATTGTGGCACACGGTTGCATTTTTATCAACATTAATTTGAATCAACAAGTTCGTTAAATTTAAAAATTAACAATCTTGTTGCGATTTACTAATGAAAGAAGTAGGTAAATATTCGTTTATTCAATTAATTTAATTAATTCCAAACATTTGAAAGGTACTCGGCTGAAAAAAGCTGTATTCGTAATCGGAACGCACTCGACACCACTGTCGATATAGGAAATCCGAAAGTGATTTCCACAAAGAAATTGAAGCGTATGTTGAAGAAAGTCAGAATAAGAAGAAATATACGTATAGGTCCTGTTTTGGTTTCTACCTGAAATAATTAAAAAAAAAAAATGATTATGCTCGAAATGCAACCGTGGACGCCAGCTGGCAGTGAAGCTTGCAAATGTTTGCTAATTCCTGTTCGCGCAAAACTTAGTAAGTTTCTCTCTTTGGGAGAGTAAGGTACCTTATTCTCTGAATTTTGTTACTGGCTAATTCTTACTGGCAGTTGCATAGCGAACACTCCTTTACTCTCCGAAATTTGGTTACTGGTAAGTTACTGGATATTTTTTGCTGGAGAATACGAAAACTCAACTTATGTTTATAATTTTTATGTAAACGAATGCCCCAAAGTATCAAAATCAATTATTTCCTAGACATATTTACATATGTATGTGAAACCAGCAATTTGTCAATCAATTTGTTAAGGCCAAACTGGCAGCCACTAATTTCTCAGTTAAGTGATTCGACCACTGCGTAAATATGTACATATATACCTATTTAAATATGTATATATGTACATATGCCCATTAAAGAAAACAGAAAAGCATTTATATGAAATACAATCGCAGGTTCTTAACCAAAGTGGACTATTCATTAAAATAAAATGGCTCGCGCTGTTAAGCACTTACGACAAATATATCGCAAACTACATTGGGAGTTTTTGAAAGAAGGTGGCATACATGGCTTAAAAGTATTCTTTTCTAAGTCATCTATACGATACGCTAAGTGAGTATCTTTCAGATATGTTCAAATATAAAATTTAAATGTTTCTATTTAGCAAAATTGGACTATCACTAATGGGGTTTGAAAGTTTGCTACTTAAGTATTTAGATACGCCAACACGAATGTGTATACATACATATGTACATGTAATCTGACACTGGCATCATATAATTTGACATTTTTTATATTAAAACTACTCAGAACGTTTCGTCATACGAATGCTCCTTACAGATACTTGAAACCATGATACAAAAAAGAAGGTAGTTTCAATAAACAACTTTTTGATTAAAAAGCAGATTTTTGACAATTGCTCAATTGTGAAAAATTCGAAGCGGCATTACCCAATTGTAAGTTTTTTGGTGTGGGACATTTTATATTCTAAATTTGGGATTATAAAGTAAATAGTTATATAGTATTAATATAAACCTTTTAAAACTAATCAATATCTTATTTTGAAAACGTTTAAATTTTACATTAAATTCGATAACAACTTGCCAAATCATTATTTTAATATTAATACAATTTTAGTGAACATATTTTAAAATTATGTTAGTGTCCTCATGTCATCTCATTAATTCACAATGTAGTTTTCTATATCGGATACGTGATTCTGATGTAATTCTGAAATTACACATTTACACAAATTACTGAAATTACACATTTCGATGTGTTATTTAATACATATTGTCTTTGTCCATTTAACAGCAATGGAATTTACTTTGGAACTCATGGGCCGTAAAATTTTTCTAGCAACACATATTGTTTTCACATACAATTTTGACACACCCAAAATTGAAGGATAAAATAAATAGATAAAAACAAATTTTCAATAAAATTGATTTGTGTAGTCCAGGGTCGTCTTTAGTAAATTTTTTGGAGGCTGTTTTAACATATCCTATCTTATTATATATTTCTTAGCTTTTCTACATTCTGAGAAGTTGAGTAAATGAAGTCTAATATTCTTTTTTGGTCAACTACGATGTTTGATTTCATTTTTTGCAATCATTAGTTCATTTCGCTTGAGGAATCACAATGCCCATACCGGCTTTTTTTGAAATTTCTGACACAAGTTTTCCAATAATGGTTATAGGCTAAAACAAAACCGATATCTAAAGTGCGTGTAGAACCTCCCATAGAAATCGAATTTTTCATAGTGCATATCTCTGGAAGTATTTGTGGTAGAGTCCTGGAACTTTGTATGGATATATGTATATGAAGTCAATCTTAAGCTCATGGAAAAATAAGAGTTTATTGGAAAATGCGGCGTGCCACCGTAGAACTAGGAATAGAGGTAAATGAAATCAATCCCAAACCTATGAAAAATGGGGGTATATGAAAACAATCTCGTAGCCGTTCAAAAGAGCTAGCGGTATAAGCCAAATAAACTAAAATTCTGGTGACGCATAAAAACCTCTGGAAGCATTTACCTAGAATACAGAGATAAGGTATTTTTCCAACGAAAATATGTACAGAAAAACGGGCGCCACACCTTCTGGAAAGTAACATGATCACAGGGTGTATCCCGAAAACCATTTTAAGCTAAACCTTCAGGGATTATATTCTTGCCAAGACCCACAGGCATAAGCCGAAATTGCGTCGCAAGTTTTATGATCGGCTTGGGTAAGGTTTAACCACTTAACCCCCCTTTGTTTTCGTCGCTACTGAATTCTATAAACTGTCAGCTTTCACACAATTTAAAATATACATGTGTATTTAAAAATGTCATGAAAATTGTGTTGCTAGCTTCATGTTGCAAAATGTTTCAAGGAAATGTTGTGGAATTTCACACTTATTTCTTGTTTATTTCTTATTATGCTATGCTTAAGAACAAAATATTTTTAAATCGACAAAACATTAATAAGAAAATTTGAAGGATTTTAGATATTGGGTATGGTAGCACGAAATGTCACAATCTGCTTAATTGTCAGGTTGTTAATATGGCGACGAAAAAGTGACAATGGAACTACCTTGTTTTTTGTATCATGCTTGAAACATTCAATCTAAAACATAGATTTGAACGCATCCACTTTTCAGGCGTTAACAATTTTGACCGCGCATTTTTTTATATTTTTTTTCGATCTGGGGTATAAGTAGAAATCATTGGGCGACAAATCGGGACGTACGGCAGATGATCCAATGAGCTCATCTTTGAGAGCCCTCATTATCGTGGTGGTGAAATGTCTTTTGGAGCATGACAATTGAAGTTCTTGAACGTGTAAAGAATTACACCAATCACCACGACTCTTAATCATGAAAATATGATAATTCATGGAACAAATCGATTAAATTGAAAGAGGTACTTATATATGTACATATTTTGTGCTTTTCTTCAATCAATATGACAAAATGGGTATTCCTTCAAACGAATAAAATCATTCATGCATGGAAATAAGAAAACATTTTTTTTTTTTTTTTTCATGACGATAATTTTAAATGCAATCGCATAGCTACTAATTTTGTATGTTCCAATCTCGTTGGTGTGGGGAAGGGTATTAAGCGTATATGGAATCGTTTGAATGTATTTTGTCGGGTTCATGTATTTCGCTCAAAACACTGACCTCAAATTAATTATCGAAGTAACATTTTTTATGCAAACGATGTGGCCTGCAAAAGAGCGCAGGCAATATTAAATGTCGTTGAGACTTGGTGTGATGGAAAGCGGCTCACCGCTAACCCAACCAAAACTAGTGTTGTGCTCTTCACAAGAAAAGCATTGACAGCATTTTGGCAATGTAAACAGTGGCAAAACGTTGGGTCTGTCATCAAAGGTAATTAATTCTCTTGATTTATACCTCTATGATCAGGCTGATAATCAGCTATGCATCAGTGGTATGATGGAGCATACTCTCTATAAATAGCGTGGGAAATCTGCTTACTACGCTTCAAAGAACTATCGCCATGTGCGTTGCTCTTGATGCACTGCTGCACTTACCGTCAACTTTGTGTCTTCAGACGTTGGGAAGGCTGAAAGGTCACCTGCAGACTAAAAAGAAACTGACAAGAGACTTCGATTGTCTACTAGGATAGAGAGCGGCTTCTTTGGATGCAGATAAGTTGATTCTTTTCTTTTCTAGGGTAGAAGTTATGGTTCTATATTTAAAGATGATAGTTATTCAGTGACATTTGGGAGCGTCAATCCCTTTGCTCCAGATTCAATCGTCTATTAGATAGTGCTCCGAGTTAACTAAAGTACCCACCTACACCCAGAAAGCAACCTACAGCCACCACTTTGTTCTAAATACTGGTATTACGAACCGCAGTCGATTTAACGATGAGCTGTTCGAGATTTACAACGATATAGACATAGTGCAGCGAATTAAAATTCAGCGGCGCCGCTGACTAGGTCATGTCGTTCGAATGGCCAGAAACGCTCCAGCTCTGAAAGTATTCAACGCGGGTCGCGATCCTGCTAACAGAGGAAGAATTAGGCCTCCTCTGCATTGGAGAGACCAGGTGGAGAAGGACTTGGCTTCACTTGGCATTTCCAATCGGCTTCAGTTGGTACAGAAGAGAAATGACTGGCGTACTGTTTTAGACTCGGCCAAACCCGTTCAGGCGGTTGCAGCGACAATAAAGAACAAGAAGAAGTGGTATTATAAGGGGAAGCAGGTGGGCCCCGGGGGCTGTGTAAGGCTCGGAGGCAGGTATAACCCCCCATATGCTATCCTCAACAAACTGTCCTCTGGACTAATCCAGTCATGGTCCTTTGATCCAAATCTGCATGTTGATGGTTCGGGGTGTGCCCAGTGGTGAGCAGCCAGGGATAGGCACATCAGCTACCGAATAGAGAAATTCCTTACAGATGTTCGTTGACGATCCTTCAGGTCTTCTTCTTAGCAGACCAATTTCATTAGTATGCATTAACGAAGCACTTGTCCTTGGGCGCGATAACTAGGTGGCCTACATAGTTCCTCCTCTAAATAATAATCTAATCTAGTCTGATCTAATCCATTATAATCTCATCTCTCGGGACCAACTGCTGAAGACCTACCAAACCATGAACCCTGTTATCGATAATTATTTCTATGTAGTTCAAAATTTTCTTTTCAGACACATTTGGTTAATTTTTCTCGCTGGCATTATTATCATTACTCACATTATAATTATCAACTTAATTTTTCAATATTTGGATCAACCAACTGAGGTGCGATTGTCCACTATGAGAACGCATGTTTCTAGAAGTCCATTTCCAGCTGTCGCTGTTTGTAGTGCTAATAAGATAAGTCGACACAAATTGATGCAATATGCGGAAAAGGTGTAAGTATAACCTGCATTCTTGCAAAAATATTTACTTTGATATTGTGTAGCCAATAAAAGATTAGAATGTTCACTTAATATTTGATTAGTGCTTTATATAAACGTTTGATTATTTGATTACCGTAATAAATTAATCGCTGTTACAGTGTTTAAAAGAGCATTAGCATAAGTTGAATTGTCCAAATGCCAATTATGTAGTTTACTTTTCACTAAATAATTATAGCTGTCTTAACAAAGAGAGTACTTTTCAAGGCCTCCCTGATATATTGAGGCAATTTGTAGCCTATAACCATTCTTGGAAAGTCTGCAGTAGGTGGCTAAACTATCAAAAGAAAAAAACGGTGCAGAACTTTTTGAGTTAACATGGTTATATATATACATACATATTGGACAACGGGGATCGAACCTGAGCTTTATGCATGTATATTTAATGTATGGAAAGCTTAAAAAAGCTCGGCGCATTTTATTTGGAGTAACCAAATCTGGTTTCAAACAGTGGTCGGCAACTCAATGCTCTCTAAGCGCATCCTCAGCAGAGAATTTTCTGGAATGAGTTCTATGTTAATAAGCCACTATCGGTCGTTAGACCCTTGTGTATGTAATGTAACTCAGATCGTTGCTCAAATGTAGTCGGATCTATACAACAGCGTTATTGACAATTGGACAGCCCGAAAATTTGCTACCGTGAGGAGCCGTGTTGCATATGGCTCATAAATATAGAAAAGTATTTCATTAATAAATAATTTCTTTCTACGACTATGCACATTAGGGCGGGTAATTTTTCTTTACTATGCGTGTATAGAATAGGAGGATTATACATGTGTTTCTAAAAAAATTCTGAAAAAACCATGGGTCTAAAACCGATTTGGAGTTTGCCAAATTCCGAAAATAGGTTTCGAAGAAAATATGAAAATTTTCACTGTTCCGCTCTCTGGTGGAAGTTTAAAAAAAAAACAGTGCAGATATGGCTTCCTCATACCAAAAAATCCCCTATAACATATTTTTATGCAAAATGTAAGCACTTCTTTACGACACTACAGCAAAATACTAAAAAATCTATTTTCGCAATTTGGCAAACTCCAAATCGATTTTAAACCCATGGTTTCTTCGGCAAATTAACTTAGAATTACATGTAGAATCCTTCTGTGCTACACGCGCATAGTCGAACAAATTGCCCATACAAATTGACCCGCCCTAATATACAGACATACATATGTATTGTATTTCGATGGCTGAGTGGACGATCGACCTATCTCGGCTGCCAGTTCGAAAACGTTCTATCTCAAAAAACTTTTCAAGAACGCCCTATTTCAGAATTTTATTGAAAAACACCTTATCTTAAAATTCAGTTCAAAAACGCCCTATCGCACTTCAAAATGTATTGAAAATATGCTGATATAGGGCGTTTTTGAATCGGCAGCTGAGATAGGGCGTTTTTGAACTGAATTTTAAGATAAGGTGTTTTTCAATAAAATTCTGAAATAGGGCGTTCTTGAAAAGTTAGAGATTTTCACTACAAAAATCTGTAGTTAACTCCCGAGGTCGATCTTCCACTCAGCCATCGATTTGTTGGTGCCTTTTTATTTTTTTTCAAGTACCTTTTATTTATTTATTTTTTATCCAATTTTATTTTATTTTTATTTTTTTTCAACTTAGTCGAAATAGCCTAGCACTTTCACCTCATTCACCATAGCCACCAGGCCGTCCAAAATTTCCTCCGCAGTTGGTCTTATCTGATCGGCTGGCAGTTCCATGCCATTACCGTTGAAACTACCATTCGGACGCAGTTCAAAGCAAAACGCCATGCGTATACCTGTCTTGGAGTAGGCATAATCGACACTTGAGCCAGCGGCCGGGTAAATGGCATCGTAAATATTACCGCCAGTATAGACGGTGTCGTAACGTTTGCTGATCGCTTTGAGGGTAACATTATAGACTTGTTCGTAGTCTTTGACGTTATCTGGTAATTCTGGCGTATCTCCATTCGGATAGAGCAAATATTGCGAAAACGAATGGAATGAAATATACAATTTGACTACACTTTTCAAGGAGTCAACATAGCGAGAAAGCGATTTAACTTCAATTTCCGAATTAGCTGCACTACCGGCAAACGTTTCCGAACACGGATTACTGCTAGCACCCACTGTATTCCACGAAACATTCCAATTACGATTGGGATCGGCACCATAGCAACTGCCGTATGGTTGTCGCGTCTTACGCCACATGCGATTGGTAGTGTGTGTATAGACATAACCATCGGGATTGGCATGCGGGATGATGTACCACTCGTACGTCTCAGCTAGTTCTCTAACTTGCTCATCAGTGGAGGTCAGCAAAGCATCGATGACATATGTGGCCGTTGCAGGCGCAATCCATTCACGTGCATGTATACCGGCTTCTAAAAATATGCCAGGTTTCTGCTTTTTCCCATTGTGAAGTGAAATTTTTACACCCAAAATCGAACGCTTCTCATAGCTTTTGCCACCTTCGATGAGTGTTACATTGCCAGGATAAGACGAGGCCAACGATCGCAACCAACTGTAGTGGAAGTCAAGTGTTTGATAGGCAGACCATTGGTCAGTGGTGGCGCGTGTCGCAATCTGATTATAATCTTTTTCCAACGCTGTTTGTAAATCTTTTTCCACCAAATTGTAGTCGATATCATTAACATCCAATACCAGCAGGAAATCAGAGACTTTATGTGGCGGTACCACAACCTTTACGGTTCTATTTATTTTGTGAACACCGTCTAAGAAGAGCAGCGAATCGCTAGTATCTTCCATTTGCTTGAGTAACGCCAACTTTTCGCGATTGGAGGCGTTCACCTCATAGACTCGATAATTATCAAAGCGTACGCGTTCACCATTAGTTAAAGCCAAAGCCGTTAGGCAGAGTATCAAAAATAACCCGATATTCAGTGACATTTGATGTGTCAGTGGCAAAGCGCTTGGGCAAATAAATTTCGCAAGATTTAGTGCCCTACATTTATAAACTTATTAGTGTTGTAATTAAACATGCAGATAAGAACACCTTGGCAGATTGCGAGCTAAATGTGGCAAATGACCATTTGTTATAGATTTGATAAGCCAATTTTATTGCGGTGATAGAGCCTTATGCAGTAAACTAGAATTTTTTTTTTATGTATGTGTGTATGTTAGGGCGGGTCAATTTGTATGGGAGATTTTTATCTCGATTATACGCGTAAAGCACAGAAGGATTTTACATGTAATTCTATGCAAATTTGCCATGGGTCTAAAATCAATTTGGAGTCTGCCAAATTGTGCAAATAGGTTTCTTAGCATTTTGATGTAGTGTCGTAAATAAGTGCTTAAATGTTGTATAAAAAATGTTACAAGTGCTTTTTGGTATGAGGAATTAATTTCTGCACTTATCTCTTTCTTAAAACTTCCACCAGAGGGCGCACCAGTGTAAATTTTCACATTTTCTCCAAATTGATTTTAGACACATGGTTTCTCCGGCAAATTTGCTTACAATTACACGTAGCATCTTGTTATGATTTACGCGCGTCGTAAAAAATATTTGCCTGCCCTAATGTATGTTTATTAGACCGCATCACCTTACATGAAAACAAAATATTTCGCCTTGCACCATTGAGTTTAAAGTATTTTTGCAGGGAATTTGGAAAAAACCTGATCGAACCTGGGGGTTCTCCTTTACAATTTTCGGTGTTACCTACATTCAGCAATAAATTTGTTCTACTGCAATAATCAAAATACTTCCTTAGCAAAATTTAAATGATTTTTGGCGAGATTTAATATACCGGCATTAAGGTGGTAATACAGGGTAGTGGTACTAGATATGCTGAGTAAGTGCTGGAAGGGGGTACTCGAAGTCAATGAATTTTAGAACAAAAAAAATGTTCTCCTCGAGACAAAAACATCGACATATCATTCTTTGTATATCATACAAAATATATAAAATATTTTTCGAAATTGCCTTGCAATAAGTAACTTTTAAGAAAACAAGTAATTCTTAAGCAAAAAACTCGACCGACTTCAATTCTCATACACAAATTTAGGACCACCCTTGATATACCAACTTTCCGATAAAAAAGAATTATCGAAATCGGTTCACGTGTTCCAAATATTCCGACGAATTGATAACCTCCTCTTTTTTTGAAGTCGGTTAAAAATAACACGGACTTCCATGATCATATAAAACTCCTAGATTTTTATATGAGCATGGAAGTCAGTTGTATACCGTTGGTTGGTTGATTTCCTCGTGACACAATGATCGGAGCTAAAACACCCTTGAGGTACCACCTTTCTGAGAAAAAATAAAATAATCGAAAACTGTTTACGTGGTGCAAAGTATCATAAAAAAAAAGAAATTTTCGATGAATTGATATGATAACCTTCCTACTTTTTTTAAAGTCAGTTAAAAATACTTTAGACTCAGGAGTGTACGGCGATCGTTTCTTTCTGGTATGGTCTAATGTACATATCTATACATATGTAGTGGTGTAGGGAACCATTTTGATCAGGTCAATGTGTAGCAAAAAAAAAATAAATAAAAAAATTATATATATATCATAATTCTTCATTGATTATCCCCTAGGAACTATGGGCAACGGCTATCCAAGATTTCAGTCGTTTACTAAGAAGGTTAAGTTAGGTCACAAAGACTGTCATTTTCAAGATTTCACTTGAAGGCTGTCTAGAGTCATGGAGATGCCTAGACGATTTTTTTTTTGTGATTTTAACCAGCCCCTCCAATGAAACTATGTCTAAACAGTCTAGATCCTTTTAGAAATATTTCCTCAGAAATCTACGGAGTGCGTGACATTCGCAAAGAAAGGGGTTTCCTCATCTGTATAGCTTCTATAGAAATCCATATGCTGGACTCCCAACCTGGCAGCCTCATGATCAGGCCACGATAAAATCATGATGATGGATCCGTATGTGCGGCTTAAACAACCTCAGTAAGCTGTGTTTTCTTCGTTCGTCGAGCGATAGCCAGAGTAAACGCAAAGCTCTTGTGAGAGCTAGTACTACCTTAGGCCCTCTCACAGTCATCTGCTTTTCATTGCCCAGAACAAAGCTCTGCAAGTTAGCAGTTGCCGACTTAAGGACTTTGATAGCTGCCTGAATATGAAGCACGAAGGCAAGTTTTTATTAGCAATACTTAATATACACAACAACTTTGCCGCCAAGTAAATTGAATGCATCTCATCTTAAAGTCATCTCCAACTAGTAGACGTCTATGAAGTTTGGAAAGTTAGTGTTTTAGTCACAGCTACTTCTGTTGGGAAAGGTAACTTTGAAATTGTGTGTAAAGTCGTTCTGCATAATTTATTACTAACGACTAGTGTGTTTCGACTATATGAAGGCGGATGGAAGGAATAGTTCACGTGACACGTGGTAAAGATGGGCTTATTGCCATGCCCTCCACCCTTGTGTAGGAAAACATTAAATTTCATCCGAATTCGACGAAATTTCGTTTGTACTCTCTCTTGTATTAAAATAACCTATATAATTAAGTATAAAATATGGAAGTAATGTTGAAGTATAACGTCTACAAATCCCAAAACTATCATCATTAAATATGATGGAATTTGGCCATTTTTTGTTTCCTGCTTTCTACTCTCAGTACAACAAAGGTCATACTTAAAATTTGAATAGGAGCAAATATTCTTAATTCCCCAAATTGCTGGGGTGATTTTATTATTATTAGAAGAATTATTTTCGCGAAATTAAGCAATAGGAAGAAGAAAATCGAAAATTATATATAGTATATGTGCAAAGTCGCGCGAAAAGATCCAATTCTATGCTCGTAGTAAATGATGCCAAATTTTTGTATTTATGACTTTTACTATTCCCTCTCTAGGCCCAACCGGATTTTTAGGACTTCTTTCCACCTGCCTCCATATAATCGAAACTACGGTGGTAGTCATGCCATATCCGCAACCATCTGTGAGTGAATGTCGCAAAAGTGTTCTGCCATGCGACCTTTGCAAGTTGTACAAATGAGTGTTGATTTCAACCGACTTGCCCAACCATCGTACGTGATAATAATTCTTACAGCTGCTTTCCTCGGAAATTTTTCCGCATTATGTAGCTTAATATTTTGGTATTTTAAAATTTAAATTCCAGTATTTTTTCATGCTTTTAAGAGCGTATTTCAATACATTTCTGACCGGATAAGCAGAGCATTCGAATACATATTCTGCAACCTAAATGCCTTACAGAGTGGTGTGGGGCTTAAACGCTTTTATCATGCGTTTCCCTGCCAGTGGAAAAGAGACACCGCCTCTAATCATTGGTTTTCGGTGATTTTCTCCCCATTCTCATCCTCTTCTACAATCTTATACACCCGACTCGTTCTGGTGAACAATTCGTTCGCCGGCGCAATCGCCGTCGGATGAAAAGCACAGTTCGGCGATGGATCGCAAAAACGATACACTAAAAGTGAAAGTACATAACGTGCATTGCGTCGCCGTCACAGTTGAAACGATCGAAATGTGGACCACGTCGGAACGACGTTGCGGTTTACTCAAACGACTTCACCAGATCGACGGGGTAACGACATCGATTCGAACTCATCCACGCTCTGTGGCAAATTGGGTAGACTGCTAGCCATAGTGAGCCGACAACACCGAGTACTACACTTTGCTTCCGGCATGTGCGGTCGCTCGTTTAAAGAATGTAACGTTGACACAAATTCCACCACTCTTCGCAGATATGTCGGGCTTCCTACTTGACCTTTAAAAAGTTTTAGATGACTACAAAATGAATGAAAATATATGCTTCAGGAGGGGTGGTCACGGCTTTTCCAGACCCCCAGCTCCTCTTGCAGCTGTTCAGCTTTGATCGAACGCTTGTCGAGCCGCCACCCATTTCAGCCCCTACGCTGGCAGTGTGCGAACGAAGTAAAATACCGTTTCTGAGTCCAATTAATCATCGGTGAAAAGGAGAGTAGCGCTGTCAGAATACCGAAGGAGGTGGCAACGTAACGTTGAGAGACGCCACAATGAAGGTAGCCACTAAGAAGGAGTGCATCCAGCGACTCTCACCAAAGTATGCAAGTTACCAAACGATCCAGCAACGGTCACAAGCAGACTCAACATCACCCAAAACTACCGGACGACCTTTCAACTGACGCCACCAGTACTCTCAGCATTGCAAATAGTCACGTGCATTCACCGATCGCCTCCAGCGCTCTCACCATTTCCGCCGAAAGCAACCTATACTGGCAACACTTAGCGTCGCCGAGGAGAGTCACCAATTGTCTACCGGCACCAATACCAGTTGGGGCGCCGTAGCTGAAATCCGCCGCAAGTTTCGCCATCGCAGGCGTTCACTGCTTCTCTTCATGGCCAATATCATTTTGGTCGTCTTCTCTATCTTTTGGTAAGCTAAACTGTTGGCACGCTATGTGAGGGAAGTGGAGCCTATATTCGACTCTGGGTCGACAGAGAACTATCCCAGCCTAATAATAATTTTTTGACGTCTCCGAGCCGCAATCAGATTTTCTGAGAAGCTTTTCATGGAAACAATGCACTCGGAGGGTGGCCAATGCCTGCCGACGGGCGAATGCAGACAGAAAAAATTTTACCGGTCCTGGTAGCACGCACCCATAACCACTCTGTCACAGCGGCTGGCTAAAGTCTACTGGTAATTTCACAAGAGGATTCCAATCGGCATCTTTCACGGGATAATTTTCTTTCGGAACTCGAGGAAAAAATTACATGTTTGAAGAGGGATACTTTATAGCTTTACAGGATTAGGAAGCCAAACAATGTGTATGAGAGATATCTGAACCATCTCGTTAAGAGATCGGCGAAGTTGACTATAACCGTGGGCTTTAGTTTAGGAAAAAATGTTGTAACATCTCTGTTTATTTTTTGACTTTTTGAGACCTCTGACCTTTACCCGCTGTTTCTGAAACACTTATGAGGAAATGTAAGTTGAATGATTTAGGTCAGAAAGATTACACAGGTTTACAAAAAAAAAGTGTATGCATATTTAACCAAACCTATATATCCCTATGTTATTCGACTCGCTGAATGCGAATCCGAGATACGTTAGCCTCTATCAAGTCAGGTTCGTGATCATTTGGTTCATTTGATTATTTTCACAAAAAAATTCTTTGGTTGAATTTTGATTCCAATAAGTTAATGAACATCACAAGAATTTAATAAAAAAAATTTACTTTTATTTAAGTGCGTAAAATTATGGCCTGTTTTCACAGTGTAGATTTCTCTCAAAAGCTGAAGCTAACTTTAATTTTTGTATGTACTCAAAACCAGTAGTTAACAGTCGAATGTGAGTTGGCTCTCCACTGTAAAGCGAGCCCCAAGATTGTACGCCATTAATAGTAACAAATTGAAATTTAATCATAGCCTTATAAGTTAGCTAAAGCACCTGACTCCTTGATCATCGCCAACATGGAATCCATTATTTCCTCCCCTGTGGGTACAATTTGATCGGCTGGCAAGCGAAATCCAGTCCACAAAGAGGAACCTGAAGGACGTAGCTCAAAACAGTAGGAGTAAGGCACCTCCATCTTGCCATAAGCCCAATCCAAACTAGCACCTGCAGCTGGATATATGGCATCATAAACATTACCGCCCGTGTACCGTGTGCCGTAACGTTTCGAAACAGCAGCGACTGTAACATCAAATACGCGCTTCAAGTCCTTGTAATTGGGCGGCAACTCACCAGTATGTCCATAGGGGAAGAGCAGAAGTTGTGAGTAGGAATGGAATGACAAATACAAATATAATTTCCCCTTCAGTGTGCTTATGTATTCGGCGAGCGTACGTGTTTCAATCTCTGAGAATGCCTTCGGCCCAGCATAGGTATCCGAACAAGGATTATTACTCGAACCCACCTCATTCCAATGAAAGTCCCAATTACGATTGGGATCGGCGCCAAAGCAATTACCGTACGGTGTACGCGTTTTACGCCACAAACGATTGTTTGTGTGCGTATACACATAACCGTCGGGATTACTATGAGGCACCACATACCACTCAAAGCTCTCGGCTGTTCTTCGCACATCCGCATTGGTGCTCGTAAGCAATTGATTGATAATATAAGTTGTAGTAGCGGGACTAATCCATTCACGCGCATGCATGCCGCCCTCGATAAAGATGCCACGACGCTTTGTGGCACCATCATCACTGCTTCCGCTGCCGCTGCCGTAAGCGATCTTGACGCCCAATATTTCACGTCCCTCATACGATTTGCCCGCTACGAATACGCTTACTTGATCAGGATACTTTTCAGCCAACGCTCGCAGCCAAGCATACGTGTCTTCCAATTCGTGATACTCAGCCCAAGTGTATTCACCACCACGGCGATTCGGATCTGCCACAAGCTCTTCAAAATCTAAGCTCTTCTGCGCGTTCTCATCCACTAATCTATGGGGGATTTGATTGTGCTGTAGTACAGACAAAAAATCAGCAACGCGATGTGGCGCAACGAGTACATTAATTTTGGCGTCCAAATAGTGTACTGCATTCAGAAAGAGTAAGGAGTCACCTGAGCCTTCCAACGCTTGAATGGCAACTAACTGTGCTGTCGTTTGCGGTTGTAGCTCAAAGACATGATAGTTGTCGTACCGAACGCGTTCTGCGGTCGCGCAATTGATAGTGGCTACTAAGCCGAGTAGAGCGATTAGAACCAGTTGTTGCCACATGTTGTGGGTGCCGAAAGTAAATGAAGATTGTGGCCTATGGTGAGTGCTATTTTATAGGTGCACGTAAGAGCGCCACAGGGCGCATGTATGGTGTGATAATTACCACAAGGCTAGAAAGTTGCTGGTTGCACGAAGCATTGAGCAGAGTGCGACAGTGCATACATACATACATGGATTATGAAGCAGATACATAAATACAAATGGTTGTAGTTATGCATATCTAGCGAACACCTACAGGTCTTAATAGAGATTAGACATAAGTTTCTACGTAAAAACTTATATATTGACGTTTGTTAGAAAAAATACTCGCATTAGGGGTGTTCTAGCGAGAATAAAACTATTTATGTAGCTTCAATCCCTTGCTTATGGAAATAAAAAATAGGCTGTGGCTTTGTAGGTATAATATTTTGTGTATTTAAAATACAGATCGTAAAAAATTCTTACTCAGATCTAGAAAGGTCTATCCTCTCAACATTGTCTGAAAATTTTCTATTGTGGCTCGTTTTGGGTTTCGCGCCAGAGTGACATTGCGGGAAACTCCGGGCCTGTTGACTTGGCAAGTAAACTCAATCTCGAAATGTTATCACGCGAGCGCTAAATAACTAGAAACTACGACCTGTGCATTTGAGAGATCCTTCTGGCCTAGAGTGGTCAGAGGAACTCCTTACATTTGCAAAGCCTCAGCTTTCGATAATGGTGAGGGGGTTCTGAAAAGCCACTGTACGCATGGTATTCATGAGGTAAGATTCAGAATCTCCCTTGATCCGTCCTGTTGCAACTGTTGCATAAACAGAACCTGATGGTGCCTAGGCGTGGTAAATGCTCTATGTCCTGCTTGGGATTAAAGGAAACGAATTATAAGAAGAAGGAGTTAAGGAGGTTATTATTAATGTAGACATATTCGCACGTATTAATTTAAGTCCAGTTTTCCACACCTTGTGCGTAGTGTGGTCGTTGTACGAGCTGGTCGCGGACTCGCGGGCTATGCTGGCACGTGTTTGTAGTTTTCGCCCAGTTCGAGTTTAGTTTTGCCCTTCGCATCGTTTTCCTTGTTCCCCATAACTTTGGTCAAATTGTACTGACTCTGTTATACCATCTAGTTCGTAATTGAGAAACGATATCGAGCGCAAAACATCCTAGTTGAAAGCTGTAGTCTTTCTGGGAAATAACCGCGAACAGTGTTAGTCCGTTGGAAATTGCTTTCCTCAGCAATTAACAAACACATTGAAGTCACACTTGGTTTTAATGCGGTCGGCGTTCTACCATCTCAGTTTGAGGACATTTAGGTTGAAGACGAGATGCTACCCAGGTCTTAAGTAATATCAACTCCAAGAGGGGTCTCTTAAGAAAGTATATCTGTGTGAAGCTTAGTTCATCACAATTCACTCGCCGAGTAGAGGTTTTCGTTGCCTCTATATAAGGTGGTCACTGTTTCTTTGAGACAGCGTCCTTTGAGACTGTTCCTCAGAGCGCATCGGTTTAAATTCCTTGGTAGAGATCGGAACATTCCCTCCATTGTAAGGCGCACACCTACAAGCACTCCTATCCCTGAAATTTAATTGGACTAAGCCTGTAGGGGAAGACAGATAGATTCCTTCCATTAGCCCGACCGATTCCCAATATTAACTGCATCTCCCCCGGATATGTTTCCTCGTACCATAAACGGAAATACGACCACCGTCTGTATATTTTTCAGCTATCGCTACAAAGATTACATACCCGTTCCACCGTTCGATCCAACTTAAATTTTCGAAACTCTTAGAGTACAACTCCACAACAACCTTTTCAGGCGATCCGCGCTTTTCCGGCTTTCAGCAATAGCTGAATTGAAAAGCGCGGAAGGCCTGAAAAGCTGGTCTTGGAGTTGTTCTCTTAAAATCAAGTCAAATGTACCGTAGATAGGAATGAGTGTTGAATTTTTTGGTTATAACTATTTTCATAAAAATTATAAACTTTAAGGTACTAGTCTTATATGTAAGTACGTATTTTTTCACTTTGTTCACACTTTCACCAAATCATATTCGCAGCTATGCAGCCCAAGAGGCTCTTCAGCCAGGACTGCTCGCAAAAAATGTCGAAGAAATGGTCCAGCATCTGTCGCTGCTCACCGGCTTCTTTCTATACCCCAACGTCGCATACTCAGAAGACGATCACCGAATCCGTCAACTACACAGAATACTCACGAGTATGTACAATGGAAGTGAATATCCTACCCAAGAAATCATCTACAACTTATCACCAGACTGTAAAGATGTCATTACACGCGGCATGGTATTCGGGGAAATAATTAATGTAACACAATACTTTGAGAAACGTACAACATCGGTAGGCGCATGCTGTCTATTCAACTATCGTCGCGAGTATTATCGCAACAATGTGTAAGAGAGTGAAGGGTGGAGTTTTATAAATAAACATCTTTTTCGAAAATTGTCCATCTACTTTGCAGCAGACGGGCTCCCAGCACGTTGGAGAATGTGATATTTAAAACTAATGATATTTTGAATTCTGTACAGTTTGTATTGCAAGATAATATAAGTGATTTTACATTTACCGAATTCTCAAGCTACGCATTTCAGGTAAACTTTCGGGTATTCATATAGGTGTACATAAATATGTATGAGCAAAACTCACGGGTGGTTTTTGTTAGTGTCACTCCCTTCTCTCGCCAGATAAAAACGCTAAAGCATTCTTGCATTTATTTGAACAAGTTTAGCTTTAAAACTGAGGTGAAAAAGTACTGAAAATACAAATTTCTTTATTGCCACTCGAAAAAATCATAATTTGTTTTAATTACTTCGGGAAGTTTTCAAATAATATATTCATATTAGAGGCCATGAAAGGTGGCATTAAATACAGCATATCTGTGAAGTTTAGGGCCAATTTCACAGTGCGTAGTTAACTCCGAATCGACAGTTAACTAGAGATTTTCACTACAAAAATCTGTAGTTAACTCCCGATTCCGAGTTAACTACGCATTGTGAAATTGGCCCTTAAAGAGTCTGCCACCAAATAAAAAAATGGCGGCATGCAGAATATCTGCGACTCGCAGCCAGGGATGATAAATGAGTTTTTTAATTATGTACCAAACGCCCAAAAAAGAGTGTACTAAATAAGTCGAGAAAATACCAACATTTAAAAGACCATACATACATAGTTACATATACATGTTTTTAGATTTTCTGTATAAAAATCATGATATAAAGCATGGCGTGTCGAAGGTGGAAAACATAAGCATACAAGTTATACTTATTACCTAAATGCTAGTAATTCCAAACATTTTCAAAAAAAAAAAAAAACCGTTGCATTTAACGGAATGGAAGTTTTACAAAAATGTTTCCTTTTATAGAAATAAACAAGTTCATAGCAGTGCTCTTGCAAAGTGGGGGAAATCGAGAGCGCAAAATGACACTGAAATCTGCCACTTTCTGCTGGGAAAAATTTTACCTGCGAAAACTTACAACTAAAAAAACTCTGCTGACCACAAGCATGTGTTCGTGAATAAACAAAAGAAAGGAATAAAAATTTAGTTTATTTAATTTATTATTAATCTCTAATTTTCTAATTTCCGGGCGTCAACTATGGCTGCCGTATACAATTTTTCAATTGTACCATATTTTTCCCAGAAATATACCAAAATAGGTAATGGTTCTCACCGAATTTGTCAGTTGATCGTTCAAGCGAAAATGAGATAATTTGAAAGGCACATTTGTAGCTATATCTACTTAAATTTTGTGAAACAAGGAAGGGTGCTTAGAGGAGATACTTTTATTTTTGAACGCGTCATAATGTGGTATAATTCATAATGTGGTCATAATGTGAGATAATTCATTTATATGCTAAAACCATTTTTCCAATACAAAAGTATTCAATAGTAAAAAAATTCCAAATTGGGGACAATGCACGAAGCGGATAATAAATTACCAAATGAACCACCTGTTGCAACTGTGAAAGTTATCAGCTGTTTCGAAGATTGCAAGTTTTTGCAAATTTTGCAAACTGCTCAGAATATTTGCTGCTGGATGATTCTGTGTGGAGAATGCAAAAATACTCCTACCAAATTTACCTATCAGAAAGTCAGAATGGCGTAAGTTGCACGTTTTTACTGGTTTTGCGTTCAATCACGTTTTCTGATATTTCAGTCTTCCCCTCAATTTTACTCGCTATGATTATTTTATTATTTGGCTGCTAGTACTTACTGGAAAATTTTATGAATAGACCTATTATGACAGCAACTTTTTTTTTTTGATTGAACACCACGTGTTTACTTTAATATGGTAGAAAAATATGACTATATTTTTATGCACAAAAATTCAAAACTCCAAGTAAATAGGGAGTGGTATTTCGACATAATTAAGCTGCAGTACCGTATCTTGACAAAAATGTATCAAAAATGTCAATGTAGTACCAATGTACTTTTGGCTTCCAAAATGTACCAAAAAAGTACAATTGTACCATCAATTTCATCACTGCTCGCAGCTATTTTGTAATTTTTGAAATTGAACGAATTTTATTTTTTTATTTTAAAAGTTTAAGATACTTTATAAAATGAACATTAAATGATGAAAATGTTCTAACCTAAACGAACCAATCTAGAGTAATAAAACTAGTGTGCCACCAAAAGGAAAAAAATTACGTTGCTTTTAAGATCACGATGATTTGCAAAACCGAAATTCCAATTTTCCAATTTTTATTAGCGCACTTGAAATTCCAATTTTTATATTGGCACACTCGAAATTGATTCTAAGATTTTTATATACATACATGAAGAAATTATACATATATTTATATAGTATATTCTTGAAGAATACTGTAGAAAAATATTCCACGCCAATATGTAATCACTTTTAAATAATATAGCTTTTAAGTTATGGCATGCGTGTAAACATGTACGCATACGCCCCACGTTACATACACAACTACGAGTACATAAGCATGAGTTATCATTTTGACTTTTTTTTAGTATACAAATATTTTTTAAGTTTTCATGTAAATACAATTTCGTGATGGAATCTTGTATTTTATGCGAAACTCAAGATAATGCACTAGTCAAAATCTCTAACTTCTGGTGTGGTTTGCTCATATAGACAAGTTGTTTCTTATACTACGTATTAATCTGGGTCCAACCCCTGCTTTTTCTGCTAAGCTTTATTTGTTTCCACAGGACGATTATCCCAAAGTAATGACGAACTCAATGGGAGACATTTTGGTGAATCACAGACAATTAATGCATATTCTAGTACAGCCCACCTTCTACGATAGCAACAATCACATACGCAGCTTTCGACCGAGTGTTAGGAAGTGTTATTTTAAAGACGAAGGACGACGTATGCTGAACAGGTTAGTTGTGAAACGTATTTATAGAGTTGATCAGTTCATAAATGTTTCTTAAATTATTTTTAGTCTGAAAGTGCATAGATAAACTGAAATCACTTTAAAGATAATAAAAATTTGTTTGTTTTGTGATTATAGTTCAGAAAACAAGGGGACAAATGCTGCCATAGGTAATCCGCGTATAAACTTGCTCGGACGCCACATAAGAAAGCATTGGAAAAAGTTGTGAAGAACCAAAATAACTAGCTGGTGGGATCACTGTAGAAAAACACTAATACGCCTCCAAAAAACTTCCACTAGGGACGCCATCTCGACTCTAACGAGCCTAGATGCTTGTAACACTCGAAACCCGAGTGGGACATGCACTTTTTTACTAGATGCTAACTCTTCGGGCTGCTTACCAACATCCATCCTTTGAACGAATAAAAACTTTACAACTATGCTTAATAAATACTACGCTTACTCGTAGTGATATTTAGTCGCAGAACAAGCACCATTTCCATATTTAGTTCGGAGTGACCAGATGGCTTATTTTCCAACAAAAAGACAAATGCTTATATCCAGTCCTTTCTAGACTTTCGAGAGCTTTGCACCTTCTGGGTCGCATTGCGAACGAATAGCAGAAGTTGTAGTATTAGCCTCCATTACTTACTCTTAAAATATATGTATATAAAAAAAAGTCGTCCTAAAAAATAGGCTTATAGCAAAAACTAATTTGCTGACCAAGCGGACAAATTTGTGACTTTGATTCATAACCTCATTTATTTTACACCTAATTGCCGTTTTCACTGTAGGGGGTTAACTCTAATTCGACAGTTAACTTTCAGTTTTTGTACCAAAAACCTGTAGTGAAAATGTGCGTCCAACAATGCTCAAAAACTGCACAGCATTCGGCCAACATATTCCCCACTTGACTCTTCGACCTGCTCTCCCCGACATTTGCGAAGAGTCGAACCACATTTCTCGCCTCCTTTGAATGGTAACAGTACTGAAAATAGTAGATAATATGAATTCGAACCACCAATCGATGACGGCGCCACCGCCTGAAGCTAATGGTCTGCCAGCTGAGCTTTTTGATAAGTGGCATGCATCAACTCTTACATACATACGTAGAATATGGTCTGATGAACGCATGCTCGATGACTGGAATTTAAGTGAGCTCTGCCCAATCTAGAAAAAAAGTGACCCCGCCATAGTAGGCGCTAACTACCGCGGGATCTGCCTTGTAACGATGTATGACTTCGGATATAAGGTCTGGTCGAACGTATTAAATATGTGAAAGACTGAATCCCACCGTAAAAAAACTGATTAGGCCTTGTCCGTTTGACTCTCGATTTGTAAAATATACAATAGACCAGGTACTCACCATGCGCAAGTGTTGGCAAAAACCCGCGAGAATAAAATCGTCACAGACCATCTCTTTGTTAATTTCAAAGCCGAGTTCGAGAGCACGAAAAAAGATTGCCTTTATGCCACGATATCAGCCAACTAACCCAGCGGAGAATTTGCCTTGCCAACAAGTGCTCTTTGGATTGAGTAAGCAATTGAGAAGTAAAGTCCTCTCTCGTCGTACAGAAATCTGGTGCTGGTGTATGGCGCAAAAGCATTTACAATAGCAGCATTCCATGAGGGGTGGGCCTTAGAGAAATCGAGTGAAGATTATACGGAAGATGTATACGATGTAACATATTACGGCAGATTTAAACACAGCGGCTCTGGATCCCGATTCTGGTAGCAGAAGATGAGAAAAGCCTCCTCAGCTAATAAAGACCAGGAGCGAGATTCTGTAACCAGTTAGCGACAATTTTCGGATCGCTATCGCACTTTTTGACGCATGATATAAATGTTTTTGTCGCTAACTGGTTACAGAATCTCCCCCCAGGTCGAGATGAACTTTACTCCAAAAACTGTCAAAAATGATATCTGTTTTCTAGACAAGACGTCACCCTATAGCAGCCTTAGCAGTATTGGTGTTCATTCCGGTGCGTCCAGAGCTCTAGAGTGTTTATTCCCGACAGTTGGGGCCAGTTCAACCGGGCAGGCTATGTCTTGATTATCTGTGCCTAGTAAGCTTAGTAATGGCATATTAATTGAAGCATTCCGTAATAGTGGAAAGAGAACCCTGTACCTGGAGTATGCTTTTGTTATTTGCATATTTTGTGGCTAACATTTGCTTAATATATTTCTTGAACGCCAAGAACTTCTACTTTACATACATGTGTACTGAAAGGCTTATTCATAGCAGAGATACAACGGCATTGAAGAAATCTCCTAGGGATAGTTCTTGTTTAGGATAGGTTAGGTTAAGCTGGCTAGCCGCTTCTGCAAGGACCGTTAACTACGACCACATTTATCAGCCAATCACTGAGTACAAGGAGCAATGTAGAAGAAAATCGCAGTCCTCCTGGGAAACTGGAACACTTTATTGTTTCCTGTTTTTTGCGGCGGCTTCCATATAAGGCCAAAAGTCTGCTCCTAAAAGACCAATCCGCGGTCTGCTAAGGGCAGCACACTCACAGAGGATATGTTCCACTGCCTCTTCTGTCGTTCCGTATCTCCAACAGATCTTATCATTGGTCAGAGCCAGTTTAAAGGCATGCGATGCCAACAGAGATGGTTGCGTTAGGACAATTACTAGTAGCCTAGCTAGTGTCCTCCCTCTTAAGGAATAGCAGTACGTTCGTGAGTTTGCCATCATATGATCTGCTTAGATGGAAATAGGCACTTCCATAATCAGCGTAGTTTCCAGTCCTGTCGGCCTCCTCATTGCCCGTGACGGCGGCGACTGCCCCAAAACCCAGTACGAATCTACATCTGTACCAGGATGTAGCATATGTATCTCAACCTGCCCCGCACGCTGCCACACTTCTTGAGGAAGTGCTGTACAATAGTAGCGCCTTTATGGCAGCCTGTGTGTCCATATAGAAATTCACCAGCCGACTTAATGCCAAATATGTTTGCCTGGAAAATGCTTCAATGGTACGGCAGCTTGTGAGATTTATTTCGGCCTTGTCTATCATATTCCACCCATCTATATTAACATTCATCGAGTTAGCACTATGTAGTCAATCCGTCCGGGCAGACTGTGACCCAGCGGCAGTTTTTGACGCTATATTATTGGCCGACAAGTCCGATGACAATCGATGCAATTAGGCTGGTACTTGAAGACTGGAACTTTTTCATTAACAGTGACGTTTTGTTTAAGTGTTTTGTTGAGTCTTTAGAGTAGGTGTGTTGGTAGGTCGATAGATTTCTAGGGTCCACCTCGTTTTGGATGTACTTACTTATCATATGTGTAATAAGAATTATGGAAAAAGAAAGCTGTAGAAAAATCTAAATTTGGAATTTACCTCGCAATGTGAAAATGTGCCTTAGTGCGAAAGTAGTTGTGAAAGTCACATGAGAGAACCGTTCTACTTTCCCTCCTTTATTAATCAAATACCTATACCTAGCAGCTGGATGAATATACTAGTGTCGCCGTTATCGTTCCCTTGCATATCTAGTCTTTGATACCCGCAACGACTCAACGACTCAGTTTTGTTTCCAGCAAAGGACTGCCACTTCAGCAGTACTCAACAAAAGCTGTGCGTAGAATATTTATTTATATGATACCCCCATAAATAGTACATCATCAATGTATACAAGTTGGGCATTAACAAAGCAGTCTAACATAAAATGGACTTTATTCCAGTACTAGTATTTATGCAAATGTTTGATCGTTCTTTTGCCATTTCAGAACCTACTACTCAGTTGATGAATGTCTACACATTTGTCGCATGCAAAGTATGCAACAATATTGTGGGTGCGTCAGTCCATTTCTCGAGCCAGCCCTCATAAACGCAACTGCCTGTAGTTTATTGCAACTACCTTGTCTCACAAATTGGATACGCGAATTCTATCGATGGTCATACTTCGACTATGTCCTGCCGTCAGCTGGATTTGACAAATGCCTTTTTTGTTTGCCAACATGCAATGGTGTTTTCTATACAATTTACCCTAATCCATCAACGTTGCGTGAAGCAACTGCCACGACGACCTACACCTACGGCTTGCTGTGAGTAGCATAATTTATCGATATTATGGATAAGTTTTTGCACTTTTTCTTTTATTCAATTATTTGCAGAGAAGGTCTCAATAGCAATAGACCATTGGCGCTGATTAAATTATACTTTAAAAACCGGTATGCGCAATCGACACAAAAAGATTTGATAAGCGACTGGGTTGTAATGTTGAGTAAGTTTTTTTTTTTTTTTTTAAATATTGGCACAAGTATGTATGTATAAATAATTTCATTGTTGTTCTTTTACTATAGATCGCTTTGGTGGCATTTTATCGCTATTTTACGGCTTTAGTATAATAAGTTATATAGAAGTTTTATACTACTTGAGCGGTAAATGGTTTGTACTTATAATCAAGACTTGGCAATCGGTGAGAAATGGCAAAGCACAGGGAAGTGCATGTGAACTGGAGAGGAATGCAGTGGCACAGAAGCCGATATATGCATTGTATTGGAATGAGCTACTCCCCATGTCTGTTAGGCTGCAAAAATACCCTAGGAATATAGCTGCAGCTAAAATCAAAATAAATAAAAAATAATAGATAGTGATGGAATTCAGTGACTACTACGTGGGGTGGTTCAAAAGCTCCCGGGGTGGAAAGAATGGAATGAGTGAAGAGATTTATTTCTTCCTCTACAGTAGATACATATGTATATAATATATTTATTGATATCTTTTCCTCGGAAATCAAAAATTTATGGGTAAGTGGCATTGACCTTTCAAATGAAGCAGAGAGTCAACAGAAGGAAATCAACGCTAGAGCTGCAAATGTATCGATGCCCCAGTATCGATATATCGAGTATTTGTTTTCTTTTTTTCCGATATCGCGTATAGTGTATCCATTTTCTCTTTGCTTATTTTAACGGAAAACACTATAAGCGACTAAAATTTTGGTAAACCGAATTGTAGCCAAATTCGAAGTCTATAAAAACCAGTAAGAAAGTCTAAGTTCGGGCGGAGCCGAACATTAAATACCCGGCGCAAGTATTAAATATATGTTTTCCACCTTTCCGAAAGCTACCGCTACATGATAAGCCGGGGTGTATACATTTTAAGTAAATTAGCGTCCTTAAATTTCGAAATATTGCAGTTTCAAGCATATCTGAAATTTACCGTTATATGAAAAGCGGCCTCAATTTTAGTCCGATTTCAACAATTTTCAACGGTTTGCTTTTATGTGGCAAGCACAATAACCATACCGAGCTTGGTACAAATTGCTAGAACGGTTAGCGAGATACATATATGTGATCACAAGTGGGCGGTGCTACGCCCATTTTCCAAAATTTTGTCATAAACGTATTTCTTGGTAAAGAATTGTTGCAATCATCAATTTTGAATAAATTAGCTTCAATATTTACTGATTTATCGAAGATTTTGTATTTCTCGAAATTACCGTTATATGGGATGTGGGCGTGGTTATTGTCCGATTTTAGAAATTTTCGGCCAGTTGGTATGCTGTATCTGGACCAACAACTGTGCCAAGTTTGGAAGAAATTGGTGTAGCGGTTACCAAGATATACACATGTAACCATAAGTGGGCGTGGCTACGCCCATTTGCCAAAATTTTGTAATATTCTTATTTTTCGTCTAAAACTCATTGCAAATATCAATTTTGAGTGAATTATCTTCAGTAGTTACTAAAATATCGCAGTTTTCGTATTTCTTAAAATTACCGTTATATGGGAGGTAGGCGTGGTTATTATCCGATTTCGCCCATTTTCAATACCATCCGTCCCACGCCCAAAAGAAGTTCACGTACCAAGTTTCGTTAAGATATCTCAATTTTTACTCGAGTTATCGTGTGCACAGACGGACGGACGGACGGACGGACAGACAGTCACCGCTTAATCGATTTCTCTTTTCATTCTGATCATTTATGTATACATTTGTCTATATCTATCTCGATTCGTTTTGCCTGTTACAAACAACCGTTATGTGAACAAAGTTATAATACCCTTGTGCACAAGTGCGCTCGGGTATAAAAATTCCGTTCTACACCAGTATATTAAATTTTAATAGGCTCCAAATCTGCATACCACGATTTTGTCTAGAAATTTGAATTAAAAAGTTTGCCATTTACTTTTATAAAGAAGTAATGAAAAAAATGTCTGGTTGAGAAAATATGAGTACTGTAATAATATCACTGTGTGATTTTGAGTATGGGTCACAGCGCATGCATATGTACATATGTATGTACATACCTCATATATGGTCTATGCATTTGTTGAATGAGTTGATGTTTTTTTTCAGTGCTTCATTTAAAATAAAAAAATTTAACGATATATATCGATGTATCGAGTTTTTTTTCTCTTAAATATTGAAAGTATCGAGTACGGTGAATATCGATATTTGTGCTGCTCTAATCACGCAGCTCGCGACGGCCGATTAAGACGACGCGCAGTGATTCAGAAACGTGGTCATAAATCGAGATTTGCGTTGAAATTTTATACTCAGGGGTTTTTTGGGTCTCTGATTTCGAATCTGTTATCGGTAAAAAAAAAAAAGACGAATGGTTTTTTTCCAATTGCTTCTTAACAATATTTATCCCTTCATAGGGCTTTTGGAGTCACTGATTTCGATTCTGATATCGGTTTTGGGAAAAAAGAAATGGCCGTTTCAAAACGGACGAAAAAAATTCCCCATTGGCAGGACACTTTCAATAGACATTCTTGAGTAATAGTATTTAGGCCTGTGGCCGATTGGCTGACTTCACTGAGAGACGTTGTCAATAGAAAAAGTTTACAGAATTAATGAAGTGAATTTTGTATTCGTGTCAATACAATTGCCAGAGTCGCCTTGTTATAAAGAAAAACATATTTCTTTATTTCATTTAATTTTTAGGATCTTATTTATTATTATTTTTTGGATTGTATATTATTTTAATACTAAGATTTTGCTTAAAAAATAAAAAAAAAATAATTGTTTTAGTTTTTTTTTAATTCTTAAGTGCCTCTTTCTACTTTTTTGATTTAATTTTTTCTTTTTCTAGTTAAATTTTAGATTTTATTGTTTTAAAAATACATGTAAATATTTTTAAATTTAATTTAATTTGTAAAAGATAGTGGGCCGTATGAATAAAAATAAGTAAATGCTTTTTCTTCAAATTTCAGACCTTTTGCTCAATTTATTCAAATAAAATTGAAGTAAAAGGTATGAAATTTCAAGCAAAAGCAATTTCTTAGCTTTTATTCATACGGCCCAGTGTCAAATATTCTTTCTCGCTCTTATTACTACACCGGGTATAATTGTACCATGGTAAATTGCTTCCAAGATAGGTACCAGAACTGACAATTGTCTTCCGAAAGGCTTTTATCTATCGAAAGACTGTGGTGAGTTGAAAGACAGTTGCCAGAATTAAAAGCACGACACTGTGAATACCCTAAATAAGAACATGTATTCGCAGCCTGTCTGGCAGCGCAAACTGGTGTACACATATGAATCACCGTTATTTTTTAAATTTACTTGTGCAGTGAAGCAGCTATAAGAATTCGCTCATTTGAAATTCCACTTTAATACAAATAATCAAATTTCCTTCTTATTCTTTGTGAAATTTTAAATTAATAAGTGTTGTGATTTAAATTATAATAAAAACAAACGCAAAGTGAAAATGAATTCGTTAATATTAATGAACTATTTTGAAAAACAAGCAAAGAGCAGCCCCAAATTGCAAGAGCTAATGGCGCAAGCAGCGCATTGCTTATTGGTGAAGGAAGAGCTGCGCAGCTTAGAAAATGGTAAGCAGACTTGGTTAATATCTATGTACATATGTATGTAAATACACTACAATAAAAATTAGCTAATGAAGTTATTTAATATTTTTCAACGTTTTTTTATCATTCAACCAACAACAACAACACACACACACACACACACAGAGCTCTCGGAGGAAACGCTAACCCTCACAATGGATAACTATCAGCTGGAGTGTATTGCAGAACAATTAAAATCACAATATCAACAACATCGCGAAGAACAAGAATGTATGCGCCTAGTTAACAAGCATACCGTAGAATTTTTTGTTGTAGTACGAAATTTCGATTGGGAGGAGTACATGCGTTGTAAGTTGGAATTATTACAAGTGCGATGTCAAAAGGAAATGCTCGAAATGAACGAGGAGTATGAGGCCGAACAACGGCGTAGAAACCAACTGGAGCAGCGAAAAAGCGGTGAGAATGGTTGATTGGGGAACATTAGTGGGGGAAAAATATCTATTTTTGTTGTTGTTGTTTTTTTTTTTTTGTTTTGCTTCCAGTTCAATTGACACGTGCGGCTCAAAGAGAATTGGCAAATATGCAGGCGAAAAAAGATTATGCTAAAAAAGGCGCGGCTGAAAGCGAAGCCACTTTATTAAAAGAGCTAAAAGAGTTGCGTCAGAAACGTAATGATTTCATAGTTGCCTTAGTGACGAGAAGCAAGCAAATAGCTGATAGTAAAAAAGAGGTAATTAATACTTAAATGTATATTCTTTGTAATTTTTTAAAATATTAAGTAGGCATACACCTCTGAGTCTCCAGTATTTTTGCAAGGCAATGTCGAAATTTTATTTAATTTTTTTTTTCTTTTGCCGCCTTTTTACAAGTATGGTATACCAATGTTCTTGCCTCGAGGAGACAATTTGTTTTTGTTCCAAAGTTCATTGACCTCAATTACCCCGTTACTCACCAGATATCAGTTTGTACCACCCTAATGCCACCTTAAGTGAACTGTCAAAATTTTGCCGACATATTTTTCGACCAGAGGCTGTAAGAAAAAGTTATTATCGGATTTTTAAATAGGAAAAATAGTGAGACCATTTTTGCCCGAGTACTTACAAGTCCACTTTCATTGTACAATGTAATTTTCTCATGACCTTAGAAAACAATTTTTTTTATTTGAGTTTATAAGCTTTGATAATAAAATGACGTACATCGTTAGTTTTCAGCATACTTCGAAACTTTTCTAAATTTTCTTGGGAATTTTTCATGGTGGTCCAGGATTTTTTCGGGATTCTTCGTAGATATGTTTGATTTTTGGAAACTTTTAAGATTTTTCTCGAGACCTCTCTGGATTTATTTGGGACTTTTAAGATTGTTCGTATTTTACTTTTTGAGATTTTTCGAGAACTTTTGGAATTTTTGGGGACTTTATTATTGGGGTTCTTCCAAGACTCTTTCAGAATATTTTAGGAACTTTTCGATACTTTTTACTGGACCTTTAGAGATCTTTTCGAGCTTAGTGCTTAGAGCATGATTTTTTTATTCATTTTTATTTTTTTGCAGGCTCTGATAATAAAATGAGATAATTCTTAAACCCAAAAGATCTTATTGAGACTTTCACAATTTTCTCGGAAATTCTTCGGCATGGTGGAAGATTTCTTAGGGATTCTTCATGATTTTACTTTTTTGGAAATTGTTGAGATTTTTTCGAGACTTTTCTGGATTTATGCATTTGTGACTTTTAGAATCTTCGTATTTTACTTTTCAACATTTACAAGAACTTTTAGAATTTTTCGTGACTTTTCTAGTTTTTTCGTGAAATTTTTTTATTGCTAGTATTTTATTTCTGGTGATCTTTCGGAATCTTTTAAGAAATTTTCGATACTATTTCGGGATTTCTCGGGACCTTTCGGAAGTTAGTGCTCGGAGCATGAATTGTAACTGGGTCCTATCGTGTGGTTGCACACACCTCTAGACACTCGGCCACGTTGACTTAAGGGTAATTCCCTAAAGGTAGCTCTCAAGAAGAGCAAAAACTCGATATAAAATGACGTACAAGAAATGGCTAAGAAATTTTTTTGAGTCAAATTTCCTAAAGACTACGCAGTTCTTAAGGAATTTGCTACGCTTTCTACTACGGTTTTCTAAAGTTTTTTGCGAAAGAAGGAGCACGAGGCAACCCATGTCTGCAACAGAAATATATGCCTGTTCCATTATTTCTCGAGGAAAGCGTGAGGCAACGGGCTGTGAAGTATCAAAAATGTCAAAATTCCTTGGACACACACTCACGAAATAATGGCAATTTTTTTCTTGAACGTTTTCTTGAGAGCTGCGTACTGGCCTTAACAGAGAATAATATGACTTTTAAATAAATAAATATAAAATCATTTCTCATAGGAAAGTATTTTTGTTTTAATCCCACAGTTTCATATTATTCAATCGAAAAACTTCATAATTTTATCACGAGATTTTTTTTAGTTTCCCCAAAACAAAATCTTGAAAATCTTGAAGTAGTCGGAAATCCCGGAATAGTCCCAATAATCCCGAAGTAGGCTCTATATCGTCCCGAGAATCCCGAAAATACCGGAAATCAATATAAATCGAATTAGTCTCGAAAATACCGAAATAGTCTCGAAAACTCCGAAAAAGCCGAAAATACAGAAAGTCTTCAAAATCCCAAGTTGTCCCGAAAATCCAGAAATAATCCCTATAACCCTAAAAATCCTGAATATGACGAAGTAGTCTCGAACATCCTAAAGTTTTTTTATTTTTATACTGAGTGCCTGGTATTTAATGAGGTAATATGTAAGTACTGATCCAGTATTTTGTGAAGCCAAAGTCTCAAAATACCCTTTTAAGCGGTGTTTATGTATAAATATATATTATTGTATATTTACTAATACTAGGGGTCTTCATCAACAATGATAAACTGCGCATAAACTTGGTAAAAGGATAAATTTATAATTTTGATAAATGAACTGACAAACTTTGTATGGAAATCTATTTAACCAAAGTTTATTACTTTATCAAACGATGTTGGTGGATATATGCATAAATTTCATAAAAATTCCACCTTGACAGTTTGCCATAAAAAGCAAATGAACACAATAGACGAGGTACGAATGAAACGTAACTAGCCATATCAGTTAAATAATAAACAATTTTATGCAATTTTTTTACCAGGGTGCGTTCATGTAAGAATGCGGATAAACTGATAAATTTAAGCAATTTATCCCTTTATCATTCAGTATGAAGACCCCTATTATAAATGTGAAAAATTGTATGTTTCCATGTTTGGGGCTCCATCACGCGGAAACGACTGAATGGATTTGTATGAAATTTTGCACAAAGATACTTTATCATCTTGATTGAAAAATAGGTTACTGTTTGACACCTGTTAACAAAGTTTAATTTAATTAATAATCTTGCGGAAACGACTGAGCGCATTTGCATGAAATTATGCACACAGGTATTTCATGACCTGTTCAAACAGTTTAATCAAATTAAATAATACGAAGTCATCAGAAAATACTCTATAATGTCCTATAAGATCCTGCGAGGTTTACATTGGGTTAATACCTAAGCTTTCGGTGCTTCCTTCGAACTTGGGAGCCTTAGAAGAGGTCAGCAATTAATTTTGAAGTCGTCCGTAAAAGACTTTTTATATTGTTTCCATTTTCTGTTTCAAATTTTGTTGAGAGACGTAGAATTTGTTTTACCTTTTTCCTTAAGGAGTCAAGCCTGAACTGAAGACATTTCAGTTTACTCATATGCAATGATCTCTTCGTTCATCCTGAAGCGATCTTAATAATCGTATTAATAAAAAAACAGCCATAGACATTTGAAGTTTGTCAATCTGCATTTATATTGGGCCTGAGAGGATAGCTACTACAATTAGCCAACTAATCTTACTTCAAAGCGCAAGTTCTAAGACTTAGATAATTAGACTCAAGGTTCTTTCTTATACCGCATACGATTTTGCTGTTAGCCACGTTACCCAAAATCGACTTGAATGTGAGCAATATAGTATATAAATTCCTAAAATCAATTGCTCGGATGTCATCTAGATTATAAAAGAAATAACTATCAATAGCTTTTGCTCTTCATTTTGCTGGAGCTGAGCAATAACAGAAAATATGTTAGATAATTTATTTCTCTTCAATCAGACACGAAGACTTTGTGCATTGTGTAGGTTTGAATGTTAATCCACCAAACACAACTATTGTCCCCTTTACCAAGGAAAGGACTCTCAAGAAAGTCGCAGGCGGCGACGCCACAGAAGTTAAGTATCTGGACTTGTCCTGGATTCCAAAATCCTGTGGAGGACTCATGCCTAGGCGGCCACCTCCAAGGATACGAGAGCGCTGATGGTCGAATAACGTCTAGCGGGAAAAGCCTGGGGTTGCACTCCAAGGATCCTAAGATGGATTTAAAACATGATAGTACGACCAATAGGAACTTATAGGACGGTGATTTGGGCTTCTAAGCTGCAAAGCGTACTCTCTTTAATTTTAAGAAAGAGGGATTTTATAAAGGCCATCCAGGAACAGGGACCAGCTGGGCTCCCAGCTATCTCTAGTGCTGCCTCCAGGGATGACATGCATATTGTAGTAGCTTTCAAAAGACACTTTAAGGTTGTAACACACAACAAGGCGACCTGGAGTACCTCTATCTTGGAGAGACACGTCCAGGCGAATGCACTAAAGGGGTAGAGACGGGTATTTTTGGGCCCAGATTAGAGCTCTCGGTAACCCTGGGAACCTTCCCAAGCATATTTAGAGGTGAAGTCTAAGCCATCAGTTTGTGTGCTGAGATTAACCTTCGAAGGAAGTGTCGAAGCGGAAGGATCCTCATTCTAAGCGATAGCCAGGCGGCACTCAATTTTCTCACATCCTTCGAGATGAAATCCGCAGTGGTCCTGGAGAATGTAGAGAGGCTTAATGCGAACAATACCTTTTAATTGCTCACCAGCTAGTTAGATGTTTCGCTGCCGACCCCGATAGGACCGGAGCCCTTCCTTTCAAAAGGACCCAACATGATATAGGAAGGAAGGAAAACACCATACTAAGGGGACTCCATTCGTGTAACACCATATGACTTCGTTAATCCAAAAGATTAATAGGAGGGTACAAAGACAAAGGGTACTCATAGGCCTCCCTAAAGAGAAACTAAGAATCATTTAAGGTTTTTTGACAGGCCATTGTGGGTTAAAAGCTGACCTGCACAATTTAAGAGTCTTATCAAGCGACTCCATTACACCTCCATCTGGAGTGTGTGGCTGTTCCACGCAGAAAGGACAGCAGCCTAGGTCATCTCTGGTCAGGAGATGAGCACATTCAATCCCTGCCCCGGCATCTATTCTGAAATTTGTATAGTCTTTGGGCTAGCTGAGATGTTTTGAAGAGTTTAGGGCACAATAGACCTACTGGTCTCAGTGCTTCTTTATCTTATCTATCTACTGAACTTAGTCCGTTGCCGGAAGTTTATAACTTTTTTGAGAGCATCCCATCAAAATTCTACACCGTAAAAAAGAGTCAGTCTTAACACCACCTTGCAAATCGATGCGGTAATCTTGAGCTCTAGACACCTACTATTTTTTACGTGAGCACAGGTACGGGAGTTTTCAACCGTTATAGCTTTTCGGAATCTTTCATCATGTTTGGTCCCCAGTTTAACTTCCTCTTTAGAATTAACCTTAAATTTTTAGGCCTTTCAATGTTCACTAAAGTCATAACATTTAAGGTCATACTTCCGAGGAGTATACAACGATGTCTCCTTGTAGATAGCTTTTGTGGAATATTCTCCCAAACCAAGACTGTTGTACTAGCCTGGGAGCTTATTTGGTAGTTCCTGTCTAAGATAATTCAGTGTTTTTTGCACATGTGTTTTGTAACACATCAAAAGATATTAGTTACTTGTCCTTACTAGATGCTGTTAAAATTATTTTCTCTTTACAGCTCGAAACCATGAAAGCCGCTCAGAAAAAACACATCAAAGAATTGAACACACAAAAACAGGAGCTAATTGCAAAACTGCAGAAACACGAAACGAAGGTATGCAGAAAACCGTGAAATTGAGGAAAATTAATATATTTTGCTTCCCCTATTTACATACTTCTCAACATTTTAGCTTCCTGGTACTACCCCTAATGAGGTAGTGTTGTGTCAGGAGCAAAAGCTGCCTAAAATAAATAACGCGCCAGCCACAAAAAAGCTTGAAGCATTTTTCAACGCGGAAAATGTCAGCAATGCGACTATAAGTGTGGAGCGCAAGGAGCCAACCTTCATGGACCTTTTCAAAGAATGGGAAGCAAAGAGGCAACTACAGTACCAGCAACTTCTAGCCACTAATACAAAGGCATTTTCCGAGATTACACCAGCCGCCAAGAATGAAGCGGCCACTACCTTGGCAACTACTCATTCCAAACCGGCCAATAACGGAGTCACAGAGACCATGCCACGATCCATATTGCGGCGTCCAAGTACCGAAGATGACGATAACGTTGACATAGTTTCAAAGAAACGTGTACATTTTGCGACGCCCGAAGTAGAGGACCGCGAGGAGGCATTTGTGCCAGCAAAAGATATTGAGAAGGACAAGAGATGTGGTGGAAAAGAGAGCAAAAATGATAATAGTTCAACATTTGTTATGAAAGAGAGCAATTTCTTTTATAATGGTAATACGACTGAGAGTCAGACTTGGGAGTCCGAAAGTGGAAAAGATGATGATACCTTTGTTATTGAAGAGGAAAATTTCTTCCATGGCGACATGGATGAGAAAGTTGTTGACGAAGCGGGCAGGGAACAGCAAAACGGTACCATTGCTTTCGGAGAAAGCAACTTCTTTGTCAATGGTGATACTGAGACAATCGAAATTTTAAGTACTCGTGAAGTATTAGAAAACGAGCAACCGACAAGAGAAGAGGTAAGGCGACCACAGCCGAAAAAGCCAGAATTCATTAAAGCCAGCAAGCTGCTCAAGAAAGCCAAGTTGTTGGGCTTTCAAAAGATTAATAAAACTGCGTTGCCCGCCGTCGCCGACAAGCCAAAGATTGAAATACAAGAATGTCGCATTATAAAGCCCGCAGGCACTAAATTGCCGACTGTGAGTTTCTTTTTCTTCATTACTCGTTTTAATAGCAATGTTTTAACAAATTAATTTCCAGAAATTACCCATCGAACTTACACCAGAATCAACACTAGCACAACGGTCCATCAACCCACCGGATGCCGCGAATGCTGCGCAAATGAAAACGGATAAAGTTTTCAAAACACCAACACAGCCCACCAAGCGTAAGGCACGAAAAATGCCCGATTGTGATACATTCTTTAGAGAATTTCTAAAGCAATCAAATGAGGGTAATACAAAATTCGCCGCCACTGTAGATGATAGGAAAGTAAATGGCACAAATGCGTCGTCAACCGCTGCTAACGCTAGTGTAGCCTTGCAAGCAAGTGAAGAACCCAAGCCGAAGCTAAAGAAAACCGAATTGGATTTTGAGCGCTTCTTTCACGACACGATCATGTGTTCCAATGAGAGCAGCGTCGACTCGGCAACTGAAATGCAAATGCCACCATCTAAGAACGGAAAAGATAGTTTTCTACAGTTTGATATGAATTTTGGTGATGCAAATCAGGCATTACTTGGCGAGAGTCTTAATGATTTTTTTGGCCCACAGGCGGTTAATAATGGCGGAGATGATGATGATGATGATTCGTCAACATTTGATTTCGGTGGTGCGAAAAATAGTGAAATGGGTAAATTTGAACCACTTTTGTAAAATTAACTATGTAAATAGTTGTAAATGCTTATCTGTCTTTTTTTCTTTCATTTCATATTGTACGACTCGTACAGCTAAAAAGTTGTTGGTCATAATACTCTTGAATATAATTATGTTTTTAATTTTTGTCAATTTTGGGGTTAAACTGAAGTCATTTTAATCATATTTAATTAATAAATATTAATTTGTATTTAAATTGGTGTATATTAATCAATGGAACCACTGTGGTGGAGCGGCACTACTAAGCCCCGCCGTCAAGCACAACTAACGGTAGGCTCAAGAAACGAGCTGTTTGGATGAGTTCGGACCAAAGATAGAGCGGTGTTAGTTGGCTGTAAAGATGTGCTTGGCTGACTGTAATTGGGTCAGAGTAGCGCAGGTCTCTCGTGATAGTCGAGTTATTATAGCTGAGTTATAATAGCTCAGAACCGGTCGGCCATTTGCTTTGTATGTTGCAAGCAACGTTTCTTTGTCTTCGCCCAAGGTGCTGCCAACAAGCAAAAGCAAGCAGAGAAGAAAGGCAGGCTAAAATTTTCGGGTGATTCACCGTAGGTATTGGTGTGCCATCGACATGAATGCCTGGTTGAAGACTGACCTCTTTCGTCCAGATGGTGAAGAGGGTCGCCGTTGATGTCGTTGGGGAGAGTGGTAAGCTTGTTGCAGTGAAGCAGAGAGAAAGGCTGGAGAGATATCTGTTTACAATTGAACAAAGGTCATCAATTCTATTCCCAGACACTAATATCGAACAGTCGTCAGTGAAATTCACTTCGGTGACAGAGTGAGCTTCGAAATATAGTGGTTAAGGAGTCCATGGGAGAAGACACCTGTGGAACCCATTGGTAAACTCTTTTAGGCTTCAAAAATTGATCTTGAAAGGTTACTTACGACTCATTTAATTCGCCGAGCCCCGTTTGAGAACCTGTGGGAGAGGAAGCCTCAATGTATTCTAGTAGCGTGGAATGACAAATGGTGTTAAACACCTTCAAAGGTTCAACGATACTAGGACAGAGGTGGTTACGGTTAACGACCCAGAGAACAAAAAATCCGAAAACCGATCCGAAAAAGGGCACAAAAGTGGATGTAGTGCGGATTTTTGGCCGTTTACTGATTCCGTTTTCGGATACTTTGACGATCCGTTTTCCAACATACGTGTGCAGCAGAATGCAGAATGTGAAACGGATACGATTTCGGCTGTTTTTTATTCTGAAACTTGTCTGATTGAAATTTTCGTTCAATATGCTTTCCTTCTACACTTCACAGGTACTTTTTCATGGTTCAAAATAAATAAAATGGAATTAGGAAGCGCCTGACGGAATTCGAACCCGGCACCTTCTGGACGCTAACAGATAGGGCAAACTCCTCTGCACGCTCAGCCACTGCCGATTACGCATGCATGCTTTCAAATGTTTAGCTTGAGAAAATAAAATAAAATTATTGCTTTCAAATGACATCATCTTTTTCGAACATTTCGAACGTTTTCCGGATACGAAAATTGATGATAACTGTAGGAGTTTTTCTATCCGTTTTCGGATACCGAAATTTGAACTAAACTGCACTGTCGGCAAAGTCTATGTTTCTTTGCTGGCTGGCGTGTTGTTTGAGTGCTTATAGCGTTATGCGCTGTTGTAGTGATGTGCACTTTACGGAGACCATGCTTATGTTTCGCTGGAATCAGGTGGTATGTGAAGTGCGGGAGTAGCAATGCCTCAAGTGTCTTCGCTTGCTATCACTTCGTGGGCTCTGAATTTGTCCCATCTTCTAGATTAGATAACTTTTTCCAGCTGCGGTCTCTACCCGGCAGGCATATAGCAGGCAGTCGACCAAAATATTCCATTTGTTTAACGAGAAGTTAAATTTTTACAGGCGTTCGAGAGGACGGCCGTTAGAACCATAAAATTACAGTCCAAACTGGGTAATTTAACGTTTTTGGATGGTATCCAAGTCTTTTTTTATTGCTGTAGGATGGTTTCGGGTTCATCAAGCTTTGCATTCCTTGCAATTTCTCGGGGTAGAAAAATATTGATTGGTTTAAATTCCCGAAACTTAATCAGGAGCGGAAAATAAGTGAGACCCAAAGCTGTTACAGGAAGAGCTTAAATTGATGTTGCGCCTTACCGCTTGGATTACAATCAACAATGATGGTTAGTTAATATTCCGATCATTTTTTAGAGATGCGGCTTGTTTCGCTTTTTGAACTGCTTAAATCGCCTCTGATCTGCCCGTGGCCAGAAGGACTTAGCGTCCCTCCATTCCATGGTATTCACCAAACACTTACAGAACTGACTGGAGGAGCCCAATTACCACCTGTGCCAGACACGGAGTTTTAACTGCCAAGAGAGACCCACGTTACCCTAGCCCAGTTACGGTTTGGAAACTGTAGCCGCCTTAACAGTTACCTGTCCAGACTCGACCCCGTCCGTCAAGACAATAGAAGGATACTTTGGTCAACTGGAAATGAACATCGTCCATTATGAAAGTTCTGAACAATTGCTTCGCGAAGTAGTTACTTTCACTGTTATCACTTCTCGGGGAAGCATTGCGCTAGCCCCTAGCTGAGTCCGAATTGACATTCGATATTTATTGATTGATTGATTGATTGATTTATTCATTTTTCTTTCAAAATAAACATATGTATGTAAATTACAATATTAACTTAACATAAATTATAATAAAATATTAAAAGAAAGAAAAAGTAAGGCATTCTGTAAAAAGTATTAATATTTTAGTATCGAATGCCGTCTCAAGAGGAATTTAATGCACATTAACAAAAGTGTGTGGGGTGAAATTCAGAATAAACTATACATTGTAAGATAAATTTAAATTTAATTAAGTTGGTTTATGAAAAAGCGGTGTACATGCTCATGAGATTACATATTTAGTTCAAGTTTACTAAGTTGTAGGGTTCAGCAAAATTTTGATGTCGTCGTGTGATTGTTCTAATAAAAATGATTTAACCTTTAATAAAAATGTACGCAAATTTCTAATGACTCGTATAGAACCAGGTAGCGCATTGAAAGCCTTGCAAGAAACAATACTGAAGAAGTT